AAGTAACCCAGCAATGAGTACAAAGTGCATGTCTGCGTATGTATCATCCTGTGAAGCGACTCGGAAGCTAGCGGTACCTCTGCTTCTTCCTTGTGAGTAGTCTTCAAAAAGTATTTTCAGTTACCAGACCTCCCGGCTTGATGTGATTGCCGACACTTCATGCCGCGTGCCGTGCAGACGCGAGGCCCTTTGAGCAATAGGGTGGCAAACTTCGGCTGTAGTCATCAAACATTCCGATTGACGCCCAAGACTGGAAAATGGGCAGACCGGTAGTACTCAGTGCAGAGAATATACCGGGCCACGAAACAGATCATCTGTTCGTATATAAGTTCCAAGTATGGACTGAGACAACATCCTCATCATCAGCATCTACTCGAACAGCTCAATCTCAGCGTCAACGATGTACTACAGCAACATTACCAGCCTCACCATTGGCGTGCTCCTCGTCAACAACGGCATCCAAATGACGGACGTTGCTTCCGTCGATGTCCTCACTATGGTCGGCAAAGACTACATGACTTTGCTTCCAAACAATCCCGGGGCAAACGCGATCGCGTCGCTCGCGTCGCCGATGTCGGTTGTCTACATCACTGAGAACGGCACGACCCCGATCGCCCTCACAGGAGGCGCAGAGATAGATGCGAACGTATGGCTCTTCCTCTGGTCATAGTTGATTCAAATATTGACCTACTTCATGATTAGTACACTATCGAGGACGCTCCGAAGCTCGACATCCTCGTCGTTCCGGGCCCAGCTCTGGACTACGTTCCCGACGAGAAAGTCAGGTCCTTCATCAAGTCCACGAACGACGATGGAGGGCACATCCTGTCAGTGTGCACCGGGATCCTCGCCGTCGCACCCTCGGGCGTCCTGGACGGCAAGAATGGTACTGCCCTGCTCGGGATAGTCCCGGAGATGCGCGAGCTCTGGCCGAAGGTCGAGTGGAAGGACACGCGCCGCTGGGAGAGGAACGCGGCCGAGGGCACCAAGGGACAGGTTTGGTCCAGTGGTAGTATCGCCAACGGGATAGATCAAGCTGCCGCCTTCGTTCGGGAGCACTGGCCCGCTGAGATTGCCGAGCCCATGATGTACCTGGCGTCCGTCCCCGAACGCCCTGCGGAGTACAGCGAGGAGGAGAAGGAATGGGGTGACAAGTGGACTGCTATCCTCAGTTAGATGGTTCGCTGCAGTTCACGTTGCCGTTATGTAGACACCGGTACCTGCCACCGCGGCTTTTTCTCGAAGCTTCATGTATCTCTTTTGACACACCCCTACTCAATCACTCTTCACGTTCAACACTAACCTTTGAGATGACTGAAATATCATCTGAAGGCAAAGAATATGAAGGGTATCGTTAAGAGGAGTCGCGACGTGGTTAGCCGGTCACGTCGATTCTGCGCCATGAGTTCGCCGCTGGCCTTTAATAAATTGTGGGCTTCGCCGGCGGTGAAGAGTTTCTCATAGCCATCGCGGAGGGCCACATTCACACCGGAGTAGCCTTGGTATATTTGCTGACCGGCTCATACAAACGAAGACGTATCTTTCGGTTTTGACCGATCATTCGTGCCATGGTGGCGGTGGAAGCTGGTGGAAGACAAACTGAAGAAGAGACGTCGACGACCCGACGGCACATGTATGATGCGCTGCCGTGTGATGCTGAACGCGATCCCGTGAGCTTCGAGAGGACGCATTCCGCGCCGCGCGCCTACGAGCACGCTTCCGGACCGGCCTCGATATTCACCACAGCCCCTCCGGGGCACTACTGGGGCTCTCTTGCTTTGAAGGCAGTTCGTCGCGTGATACTGCAAAGTTTGATATGTGCATTCAGCAGCCAGTTCATCCGCCAATATATCATCTGACCGATTGATTGGTCAGAATTGTAGTATATACGGAAGATTGATAGTCCACTTTGAGCCATGACTGTACGAGATAGCTCGGACTATATACGAAAACAAGATCAAAACCATGCCAGGGCCTTGTTGAAACGGCTGTCGCCTGCTACACTAAGTATTGTTCACATAACCGTCCTCGCCATGTTCCGAACTGGGGTAGTAGGAGTCTCCTTCGAGTTCGACTAGGGTGGTCGAGTCGGCCTCCGATGCAAGTGACCGCGCTTCCCAGTCTGATTCTACTGTCAGACCGTCGACATCTCCAGCGAGGAATCTGCGCATTGGCAGTATGAAATTAGCCCGCAGAATTTCTTCTCCATCAAGTAACACTCACCGGCGGACGACCTCCCAAGCTCGGCGCCTTTCCTCCTGCCAGGTTCGCATATTCACGAGTAGTCCGTTGTGAACACCACATGCGAAAACCAACATCTCTCCGCGCCAAGAAACGCTCACACCATATTCCATGTGTTCGGAGTTCTGGTAAGGGGTGCAATCATACGGGGTCACAACGAGGTATTTGCGTCCGTTGGGCAATGTCACGAATGCGGTCTCCGCTCTATCTTCCCAGAACTGACGCCAGAGTACCATCGTCTTGCCGTCGTCAACGTTGAAATGGATAACGGGGACGTGCACCCAGTGCGGTGGCCTCTCGCTGGGAACATGAAAGGCGACCAAGTTTGTGTTAAACTAGAACACCTTGCGTGAGCTGTCTTGTAGAGAACGTATGACGAATGCCAGACCTACCATAGTCGAATCCCATCCGTTCTCATGCCTGCGCAAAGTTCGAGGTAAGATGGGTTTGTTTTCTCTCAGATCAGAGGAAATGGTATACTGCTGAGCGGCCATGAGGGCAGTAGGGCAGTAGGACAGAAAGGCAGTAGAGCAGCTGGGCGCCGGAAGACGAGGAAGGCAAAAGGGTAGGAGACGAATGATGATCTTGACTGCATTTGCCGCCGCGCGTACTTATATCATTTGTACCAGGTTGGAGCCAAGTCTTCGGAAACTCGCTGAAGACATCAAGGTTCGAAGACCGAAAATCGTGCCATTGATTCACGATAAACAAATATAAAGTCCGTCAAGCTCAGGCACTTAGGATCCGGAGCAGCGTGCGTTCGCCGAATTCCGCTTCTACGGAGGTACCGCTCTTGTGGTAGTACCACAGAGTCTTGGCGACTTCATCGACATCTACATCTGTCCCGAACGAGCCCCATTTGCTCGCTGGACCGTCTTTCACTATGATCACCGGCCCTTTCGGCTTCTCCTTCCCGCAGACGACGGACGCGACCGTATTGACCGGTTCGTCTTTGGAGTCTGTGAGCGCGTACATTGCGTAGTACCATTCAAGTACGGTCGGGTCACGATCAAAGAATGAGGCGATCTTCTGGTAGCGGGGCGTCAGGAATACGTCCTGGAGCTCATGTTGAAGAAAGCGATCGTTTTCGTCGACGGCCAAGCAGAGGCCGTCAAGATGCTCGCGAAGGCTGTCACGATCCTTCAAGGGGTCGCAAGCGTAGCCGAGGTCCTCGGTAGTAAAGACGTATACGGCGTTAAGCTTCTCGGGAATCTGCGGTAGGTTATCAGAGCAGTGTACCGGAAAGCGATGAGAGAGACACTAACGGATATATCCGACATGTTTCAGATGAGTGCCCATTAGCAAAATAGGTCGCTCTTTATAGCACGAAACCTGTCGGTACGCATGCGCAGGGTCCTAAATGGACGCGACGAATACTTGGCATGAAGCTGAGTGAGAGACGCCCGTAGATTGATGGTCTTTTGCGTGAGATGCGCAGGGAAGTGGGCCATGGCCTTGGGCGTTGGCAGCATAATGTGGCCGAGGGTCGCCGCAGTGGGTGTACCAGTTGAAGGGAAGCACGCCGCGGCCGCGACCGTGATCATTCTCGGAGTTTACCGCGTCGGTGGGAAGAATGGGTAGAACGTCCGCGCCCCAGCGATCATTCTCCGTACATCCACGAATCCCGGTAGTGGTCTCTTACATACCCACATCCTATCTGCGATGTCAACGCGCAAGCAAGTACATATAACTACCGACAGGCACCGGCTATATCATCAATGAAGGACCAGGGCAGTGGCGAGCTGAGAGCGATGGTAGAATGGACTTGGAGCGCAGGCTAGTCATTCTGATTCGTCTTAGAAGGGCATTTTGTACTGAATGCCATTCAGCATCATCAAATGGTGCTTTACGGTAGCTGTTTGTGCTACAGTGGTCAGCAAGCGACGCGCTACTATCGTTGGTATAAGTTCCCCTCCGAAACAAGTCGACCTACTGTGACCCCATCCTCCTCGACCGAACTCAGTCAATACATCTCAACCGGAGATGAATACGATCAATGCTGGCTGTGCAGGTATGTACACACGTTGTCTCTTGCCCATGATGCGTCCTCAATATGCCACCTAGTCCTGAACCTGCCTGACATTATCCAACGATCGTTAGCATGCAATTGGCGTCCACAGAGGTGAGCGGCAGTACCTGCATACCGATGCAGACTATACTGAACGAGGCTTGCAGGAAGGAAGACTTTGTCATAACGCGTGCTTGTGCTCTCGAAATGTTCGACCAGTTGCTCGACGACTCGATCCAAAGCAAACGCCACGCCGCCGATCGACTACCATCTCACGTCCTCGTACGCATATTCGAATATGCCCTCGCCCGCTCAGGGCATCGCGCTCGCGTAAACCTACGGGAGACGTGTCGCAAGTTTCGATGCGTCATCTTCCTGTCACAATCCCTGTGGTCAGACGTTACGACGTTCCCCACCGGTTCCACGCCTTTCATGGTCGCGCAAGCTCGAGCTCTTTGGACGGACACGCCTTCGCGCCTTCACCTGGACAACTCGAATGTCTCGAGCCGTGCAAGGCGTAGCAAACATTTCCCCGACTCATATCTCCTCGCGACCTCTCTTGGGTTCATTCGTTCGTTGATAGTCGAACACAGCGTCGCCGATCTATGGTTCCTACGCACTCTCCATCGCCAGGAGTTCTTCCCAGAACTTCAGAAACTCGTTCTATCTACACCGGATCCGGAACTGTGGGGTCCCATGCCGCGGGCCTTCGACGACGATTTCCCGGACGGCCTTCCTGTCATACACGCTCCTCAGTTGCGCGAAGTCGACCTCCGGACCGTTTTAGTTCATCTCCCTGCCAGCGAAAATATCTCCCTGCTACGCCTAAATGGTCGCACTCGAGGTGGCCGCTATCGAAACCCGCGTGTCTGGAATCAATGGCCGGCTCGGATGGTATACAGCTTGTTGGCGCGCAATACGACCTTGACTGTTCTGCACCTGGTCGAAGTGGTGCGCCCCGAGCTGTCGGAGATGAACCGGCGTGCCATCTCCCTGCCGTCCCTAGAGATATTGGTGGTTTGTAGCCCTTCTGCCAAAGAACCCATATGGGTTCTTGAGAACATCGACTTCCCGGAGACAACGTATCTCGGCCTCCATATCGGTTTCAAGGCGATGACGACGTTCGACCGAGAAGAGTTCTACTATACTCTTAGTGAGTAACCGGATCTTTACCCGTGTATTCCCTCCGCTGATCATGTCTGCAGGTGACCATCTTAGTCGGCGCGAGTTCTACTCGCTTACTGCAGTTTCGTCCATGAATCTCAGTGGGCTGCTCTTAAGCCCCAATAGACGCGAGGCGTTACCTCTGCCACACTTTGACGAGACAACGACACCACTGCAAACTACAGAGATAGCTCACGTATTGTATCCTGAGTTTCCTGGGGCAATAGACATCTACCTTGCATACCAGTCGTCCTGGATACCAGACGTAAGTTCCAGGTCCTAGCGTCCGAGCCGTCCCTGATAAGAGTACAGACCCCATGGCATGCAATTTACTCCGAGATCGCGCCTTACATCGACAGCACCGATATCTTATACGTTGAGGTGAGCGCTACGTAGCCCGTGGAAGCTCAGACTGACCGACAGGGTCAACTCCAGGTCAATTCGGAGTTTGGGCCGCAATTAGACAATTCGCTTGTTATAGCCGCAGACTTCGAATTCTCTACGACAGAACTGCGTCTATGGCCCTTCAACGGCTGTATCTGGGTGGCCTTAGTAAAGGCACTGACCGGGTTCGGTCCGAGAGATGATCTGGTCTACCGCGACATCAGCGAACTGATGCTGAACCTCTATCCGGAGGTCAGACGCATCGTGAATTGCGAAGTCGGATCTTACTGGAGATCTAAGGATTCATACAAACTTGTAGAGGCAGTCTATAATGCGCGCCGTAGGCCCTAATAATGAATGCAATTATGCTGAGAGGGCGATAGCAAATCGGAGATTCGGCCGCATGCGCCATCAGTTCGGAGCAACAATGCCGGATCGCGTGGAAGTTGTGGCACGCGCGCGCGGCGCGCAAGTAGGCGCGTCTGGTCAACCACAACACTTACCACCGTCGACTAAGCTTGAGCAGTATCCACCACCATTTCCTCTATCACTTCCCCAAACGATGCCCGGCGAACGTACTGTCAGTACTAGCAGCAAGAAAGAAGATAAGAAACCCTATCAACGTCCTAAACGCGATGCGCCGAAGCATTCGGCGAACGAGATCATCGACCTCTCAAACGAGCCTGACGAGCCTTGGTCGCCAGACAAGATGCCGCGCGTCAAGGTATCATACTCTACTACACTACAGTTGATTGATTATTGACTCATGTCTCAGGATGCGCAAGGTGGGCCATCCAGACTCCGAAGAGCAACCCCTGCGGATTACGCCGACCCGGAGACCATCGTGGTCCAGGACTGGCAAATCGACGTGGTATACGATCTGGTTATAGCGGAGAAGAAGGTTGTTCTTATATCTTCAGCAGCTTGAGATGGTGGTCTGACTGGTAAATAGAAAACGGCCGAAGCTGCGCAACAACTCTGGAGCGCACGCGAGAACTGGAAGATCCAGAAGGAGGTCAGTTCTGCACTGTAGTCCTATAACGACGTCAGTTGACTCACGTCAATGCTTTGATACATAGCAACGGATAGAAGCGGAGAAGAAGTACACCGATCTTAAGAAAACGATAGACACGCAAAATGTCATGGACGCCGACCACGTATCCGATATCTTGGAGTGTCCGTTCTGTCTGGGTCTGCTCGACGCTCCTTGGTCGTGAGTTGTATAGTCCTAAGTATGAAGAGTCTTGCTGAAATCTCTCCCTTTAGTCTCACCTGTGGATGCGTCCTCTGCTACGAGTGTATTCGAACCAGCCTCGAAGCCCAACAGAAGAAATTCCGTGATGTTGACCCAACGCGCGCATGCAAACATGTTGTGGGGACCAACTCCCGAGACGGGATCCAGTTTGAATGCCCTCTACGGTACGATCACCCAAAGAAACGCCTCACCGACTGCCCAGCTCCTGCGTACACGATCAACAAGCTGTGCAACGCGGTTAATACCGCGAAGGGGGCCGAGGTCCGCGAAGATAAGCTTGTATATTCCGATCCAGTTGCTGCATGGAACTCCTTTTTTGTGCACGTAGGATAGAAACCGTTTATATAGCTACATACTCTTTGAATACTACATATATTTCACCGAAACCTCCGGCCGACACTAGTATCGTACACATTGCGCATTGGAGGATATCATAGCAAGGACTGTCCGAGGCAGTACAGTGTAAGGAACGAAACGCAAGAGTCTCAGACCGCTCAACGTATCCAGGCAACAGAGAGATGTACCCCCGGTACGTACAGAGGGCGCAAATCAGGACGAGGCGGTTCCATGAAGTCAGATTCGGTAACTTCCGGTTGCGGCCACACCTCCCAGTTACGAGCATCTTCCTCATTTGGCGGCGTGTCTACCCATCCTACCTCACTATCACTGTCTTTGAGAGAGCGTCGCAGCTCCTGTATAGCGAGGTTGAACTCTATGTCGTGACCTGCTTTGTCACGGAAGAACTTGAGACTCGCCGATATTGCTTGCATAGTCGAAGGTTGCAGGGCGTCCGAAACACAGGACAAGCTGATCGATGTCAAAAGCGGTAGAGGGACGCCGCTTGCGTCCCGAGAGCCAGACTCCAACATCGCAGCAAGTGCATCTCCCTCCTTCTTCGCGAACTTTGAACGGGGATAGGCAGGATAACGTCGTTTGATGGTCCACCCGGTACGGAAAGCTACGGTTGGGACCATGAAGTCGATCGTCTGCACAGTCGGATGACAAGCTACGATCTGATACATAATCTCCCGTGCACACTCAAGCAACCCAGATTTCCGCCAGTAATGACTGTCGAAGGCTATGTGTACGATGCATGTATCGCTCGTGTGCCCTGCAAATCTGAGCATGGTTCCAGCCCCATGGAAGGTCAATGCCTCTCGAAAATTGATGCGCGTGCATTGGCGGAGATGCAGAGGGACGGCAATCGTGCGCAAAATGGAAGCTAGAAGATGCTGTACGCGGTCCTCTTGGAGGCATAGGGTGTGTCGAAGCACTGAGTCATCTTCCTCGTTGACGCATGGTCTGATCAACGTCCCTTCCAACGCGGGCAGTTCTAGGCCATCGAGGAAGTCGGCCAAGTCCACGGGTTGCAAGGTCACGGACAGGTATGTCAATTCAGACAACCTTGTGGGATGCGCGCTGTCGAGCGGGGCCGATGCGAAGTCGCCGCGCGACAAGGATAGGTCTTGAAGGTGTGGGCAAGCTGACAGATGCTCATGTAGTTCGGGGATGGTGATGTCGTTCAGCTCAGTCAATGACAGGCATCTCAAATGAGCGCCTGTCAATAGCCGAAATAAAAGAGGGGAAGACTCTCCGACAGTGTCGACGACGGCTCGTTCAAGGGCAGGCGCGCGCACGCGCTTCATGGCTCGGAGAAGAGCATTGTCCTCGAAGAACTCGACACGGAGATCCCGAAGGCGCGGTGCCGATGCATGGGAGAACTTAATGCCCCTACAAGCATATTCAAGTTCATTCCCGAATGCAAGGCATTCGATGCTCTCGATCCGATGGATCTCCTGCTTGATCGTCTCTACCATGCGTCGCAACCGGTGAGGGTGATCTCGTCCGTTGTTCAGTATGAAGACATTGAGAGATTGCGTGGCGGATCGCGTGAGAGCTAGCTCGGTGATCTTGATGGAACTGCCAGTGGATATGTTCCTCCAGAACGATGGGTCGCGACAAAGGTCTGACCAGTGTCTGCACGCATGGCTCAAATGCAAGGGCGGGCCGTCACGCGGGGCTGCCAGATGCAGTATATTGTCAATGACCATCAACGGCAGATCATGGATGGTGAGAGGCGTGTGCAAGTGATTGATGGACATGAAAGCGATGGTGGTAGAGAGAATGTCAGTTGCCGCGGTAGGTCCGGCCGCGGCCTGCAATAACGTGTAAAGATTCGGGACAGTGATCCGGTAGCGCGGTCCCGACGACCGATCAATCTAGTTCTCGCGAGTCAAGGCGCAGGTCTGGTGTACACGGGCACAAGTAGAGTTTCGTACATGCGTTTATTGAGGTTCAGACTCAGGTTGAGAAGTGCCAGTGCCTCTTATTGCTGGGTCTAGAACCCACAGAGGGAGGAGATTGCTCGGATACAGCTACAGGAAAGTTCTATTCTATGAAAGTGGATAGAGAAAGTTGCCGCGCTGCTCAACAGGTAATCAGGAAACTTGTCAGATTGTGAAGTACTGGATGGCGTACTCGGGTATATAGTGGCTTGAGCTGCTTGAGGTCATCTAGACATCTCAATCATAGGGTAGCACGCGATGCGTCCAGACAACGTTGATGTTTACTCCAGGTACACTCAGTCTTCTCAAGTCGGGGCGGGATGGGACGTTGAAAGGAAGCTCAGGCGCCGGCAGAACATTCGTGATGCGTGTATTGTCGTTCTGAGGCACTGAATCTGCCCATCCTAGCTCCCAATTGTCGTTTCCAGACAAGAGGTGACCCTGTAGCTCTTGTATATACATCATGAATACAAGATTGTGTCCTGCCTGAGCTTGAAACCGTCCGAGACATGCCGACAATGATCGTATAGCAGTCGGCTGCAAGGCGTCTGAGACGCAACACAGAGTAATTGAAGTCAAAGACGATAAGGAGCCGCAAAAGTCACTAGGCCATGACAGGGGTTCAAATAAGGCCGCCACTACATTGCTCTCCCTTTCTGCGAAGCTGGCGCGAGACACTGTGATGGGATAGTGTCGAGTTGTGGTCCAACCCCAGTCACGACTGACAGTCGGGACCGACACGTTGACCGTATGTACGGTCGAGAGGTTTGCGATGATCCCAAACATGATCTCCCGCGCGAACTCGAGTAAACCGGATAGTCGATTGAACCCAGGGTCAAAATCGATATAAGAGATGCAAGTGCTAGACCATCCCTCACTTTCGAAAGGGTCTCCTAAGAAGCACAGGTAATTTCGAAAGTCGATATTGGAACAGCTGCGGTGACGAATTGGAACGGCGAGTATGCGTATCATGGAAGCAACGAGCGACTTGATATGACTGTCATCCAGGCTCATGATGGACGCTCGATCAACTGCGTCCTCCTGGTCCACTCTTGGAGTAAAGTTGGCAATCATCAGCGCGGGTAATTCCAAGCAGACTAGGAAGCTGCTCATGCCTCTTGGTTCCATGCCCACAAACAAACTGCGTAGTTCACGTAACACGACGGGCATGACGACGCTTCGCTGATGCCCACCAACGGTGGGGTGTTCAACGAAACTACATCGCGATAGATGCAAGGTTCGAAGACTCGGACAAGCGCGAAGATGTTCGTGCAACTCGAGAACGGTAACGCCCATACAATGGTATAGCCTGAGTTCGTGCAAATGAGAGCCCTCCCAGAACCGCGAGAACTCCCGCGAGAGTAAACCAGCAGCATACATGCTGACGTGCGCAAGGCCTGGCGCTTTTACATCCTGTAGCAGGCGAAACAGAGGATTGTCCGCACAGAATGCAATGGTGAGCTCGCGAAGCTCTGGGGCCAGCGTATTCTTGGTTTCAAACGCAATTCTGTTGCATGGGCCGTAGAGCTCCGTAGGAAGTAGCTCTGATTCAACGCTCCGGATACGATGAATCTGCGCTATGATTGCCTTCACTATATAGCGCACCCGACAAGGATCGATCTCCTCGTCAGCTTCTTCTTCGGACAAGATGAAGGCCTTTAGGGGCTGCGTGGCAGATCGTTTGAGCACTTCCTCGGTAAGACGGATAGGATGGCGCGAGGATATGGAATGCCACAATGCTGGACGCTGACAGCGTTTGTACCAGTGGCTGCATACGTGACTCAAGCGCCAAGGGTGACCATTCCATGGGGTTGCCATGGACAGTATCTCATCAAGCACTTCGGCGGGCAGGTCATGGACCGTACGAGGCATGCGCAAGTGACTGGTGGCCATTGAACAAGATAGTGGCGGAGAAGACGAAACCGACTCCCCTGCGACGAAGGATGATATAGCGTACACTATACGTACGTCCGCCGATCCGGGTGCTCGGCACGCCGGCTATCACCGCAACAATCACAGCACGAAACTTCCGATCTTGGAATCGGGAATTGAACAATGCGTTATCTGGCCGTTCTATCTATAGTCTGTTCCTCAGTATCCACCAGGTACGTTCTCTTCTTATGCTGTTCCCGGCGCTCCTCACTGAGGCCATCACCGAAAGCTTGCACCGTACCGTCGGACGCGCGTCTCTGTCAGACTCTCCTTCCTACATCGACCGACGTTTCAAAGCATGATGCACGCAGCCCTGCTCACCGGAGAACTAGCCGCATCAATGATCCGCCTTTTCCGCGCTACTTCGGTCACGATCTAGCCAGTAGTCAACCTACCATGCCTTGTTCACCCGCACTCTGACTAACAGTGCATTCTCGCTTCTGTGCTAGCCTAACATAGGATTTGCACAACGGGAACCATAGATCCCTGTATAGAAATATGTCGAAAAATCGTCAACCAATGGTGATGATGCCCGAATATGAGACCAATCTAGAGCACCACGGTTGCTGTTGACGACGCATTGAGACCTTGATGGTTGCCTGGCGAGTTGCGGACTATGGTAATGGGTTGGGAGACTGTCTCGTATCGAGAAGTGTTCACCTGGGGCGCGGGCGCGAGCACGGCAGAATCGGAGTAAGCGCCTCCGGCGGTTGAATATCCGGTTTCAACTTGCCAGTTCTCTTGGACCCCATGCACCACACGCGACCGAGAATGCCCGAACCGGCGTCCTGAGTGCAAGGCAGAAGTATACGGGACGTGTGTATCGGATTGGTTGTGGTGGGATGTGTTCGTAACGTCATATGATGGATGTTGCAGCGCAAGCGGTGGGGACTCGTGGCTAGGACGAAAATCGCTCCGTTCCTGACCTGAAGATGAAGCGATGAGATTCCATGCAGCAAACGTTATACACCTTGGGAACTCACCGAGAGCATAGCTCGCAGTCGACCGGGCGTACGACGATGTGGAAGTATAACGGACTGAACCGTGCTCGGGAGGAGGAAGACCAGGAGGAGGAAAACCAGGAAGCGCCGAAGACGCTGAGATGGCAGAAGGAAATGGTAGCGGTTTGTGCGGAGAAGAGAAGCGAATGTGCGGCAGCCTCTGAGGATGCGGCCCCATCTCCTGTACTCCCGTACGTCGAGGCGGATCGAGTACGAAAGGTGCTATACTCGTAGGCCGACGTCGTGCCAGGAAGTTCGCTCGGAGATATGAGACAAAAGCGATGAGGACATCGTTATCGATACTGAGGTCCCAGTTCAAGCGATAGCACATTTCACGCTCCATCTTGTTCAGCTCTCGGAGAGCAAATAAGTCTTGTGCAGCGATACACCAAGACTTATTGCTGAAAGACGAGTCACCAAGTCGTTTGCTCGCGAGCATGTATGCAACGATGAACAGACGAAAGCCTGATGTCGCCGTGCATATTGGAAACCTTGCTTTCAATCGATGCAGAAAGAACAAACTCGCGAAGAGGACGCTTGAAGGAAGCCTCGCGCGATAGAGAACGTAAGCGACCAGTTCATCGAGTTTGAGTTCTTCGTGCTTGGCCGGGCACGAAAAGAGATGTTGCAAGAAACGTGTGATGAGCCTTGCTGACCGCTTTTGACCGTAATACGGATCCTTTGAAGGACATAAGTAGTGTGCGTCACTACACATGAAAACACGCACCGGTACAACAGAGCCTGGGACGAAGGGCTCGGTTTGAACGGCCACGTCAACAGTCGTGCGTGCAGGTGACATATTCAAGGAGTAGGATCAATAGGACGTGAAGAATCGACGCTCTTCTTGACAGAATGCCTTGGCTGCCAGAGCGAGTTAGAAGAGGATCAGGGGATGATGAGGTATGTTCATGCCATGCTTTATCTTCTCGAAACTCGCATGAAACCGTGCTCGGCGTCCGGTGCCCAACAGGGCACGTTGATCGAGCGAGAACATGCTCCGCGTAGGCTGCGAATGGCTGCAGCAAGCACCGGTAACACGGACCAGAGTCTTGATGCCCGCGCGATCAGATCGAGAATCTTACACGCTCTTGCACAGTTTCAACTACTAGGAATCGATGCTTGACAACCAGTAGCACAAGATGCGTAGTAACGAAAGTGATAGCAGTGGACCGCGTTGGATAAACCTGACAAACCGATTTTACCGAGATGGTAGCATCAGTCAACGCGACGAGCGATGGCGAAGAAGATAGAGTGGGAAAACCAAACACGATCACATGATTTAGGCTTGCGCGTAATAACCATGACGTACAACTCCAGTATCGATCAACAGGTGGATAACAATCGAATGTGAGGTAGGATACAGTAAGTATAGTCGGTACATATAGGTCATGAAAGGGGGAGGAACATCGATGGGCCGTAGAGAACGCTACTATCCTACTCGTTGTCATTCACCATCTCCATGGTTTCCTGATCATCGCTAGACCCGGAATCCCCAGGCATTAACATCCACCTTCCTTCATCCAGCGCGTCTGACGTAGCGGAGCCGTCATCATCGTCCATGAACATCTGGCAGCAAGCCGTCACGATTACGCCGGGCTCTAGCCCGCAACGATTGTGTGTAGCTAGAAGTGCATCGTGTCAATCAATAGTGCTGATAAGATAGAACGTGTATTTTGCTCACGAGTAGTACATGTGAGTAATGGCACAGAAAGTTTCTTGACTGCGCCAGAACTGCCGTCTATAACGCGCATCTCCTCCCCACGAGTGACACGCCCAAGTCGGAATTGTGCTGGCCACGGTGCAATCGTCATGGCCATATCAAACCGCTTCTGAAGTGCGTCAGGAGCCTTCGACACTTTCCGCGTCACACGCGCAAGGAGAAGCTCGAGTAGTGACTCTGCGATATCCGAAGATCCTTCGACGGAGTGCATATGGTGGTCGATGGTGGGGCAGTGTACTGCGTCCAATGGCACTTTCAGAAGGAAAGAGTGCGGGGCGAGGTATATCCGAGTGTCGTTGCACCGCATATGTGTGAGAGCAGCGGCGTAGATTGCAAAGACTCCATCATGTGCTATGAGCTCGCCCACAGTTCCCGAGATAACGAAGTTCTCGCCCAGACACCATTGAAGTAAATCATCAGGTTTAACCGGGTGACCCGGTACATCCTGGAGCTCCCACATGATGGAGCCGGCTTCTTGTGTAAGCTCTGATAATGTCTCCAAGTCCATATCGGGGATGAGTGAGTGAACATAGGCTGCCCAGGAGCGAAGATAGCATGAACGAATGGGCAAGGAGGAAAGGCAAGTGCAAGACAACGGCAACTTGCAGGGTGAAGACGGGTCGCAATACATCATGAGGGTTGAAACACCCATCATACAGAATGTTCCGTGCCTTTATACATGGGACCCAAGGGCTGCATAGAGATTTGGCACTAACACCGTTTAGAACAGCATCAGAAGAAGCGCAAGACTGAAACAGGGCCAATAGCAGGTGAATGCACATATTACGTAGTAGCCAAGACCATCCCACAGACTGATCCCGGCCGAGACGGGTCTACCTACAGACACCGATCTTCAATCACCGGGCGCCGTAGGATGGAAATGTAGCAAATATTCATGACCACTAGCACTCTGGCAGGCACACACATATTTATTGATCATTTTATAGTCTCTTATTTTTGTGTTGTAGAGGTCCTGGCTACTGTTCATGAAGCCTCACAGAGAAACTTTGGGGTTGCGACTGCAGCATATATCAGTACTGACCATCAGAACCTATAGTATAAACTTGCCTCCATCATTCAACAGAACTTTATAGTTTGATCGCCTAAATGCATTTGAGTTGCAAGGGAGACCGTTTGTGATCTATGCCTAGATAGTCCATAGATCCGGTCCAGGGATATGATATAGTGCTATACGACTACCAAATTCACTGGTAAGCCCGGTACAAGAGTTCAGAAGCATGGACAGAACATACACAGTGGCAAGATGCAGACGCGACATGCGACGATCTCAGGGGTGATCGAGAGAACTGACCCCACATCAAAGCACTGTCAACGAGCGCTCATCTTACTGCTGTCGTCTCTTATATACCTAGCCCCACCACTTTGCATCCCGGCCATAATCATGCAACTCCCCAGCCCCACTCCAAGCTCCGGTGGCGGAAACGGCGGATCGTCATTGCCCGCGTCTTCTAGTCGGTCAATCTGGTCGAACACCTTCTTTCCATCCGACGTAAGGCCTTCACGGCTCAACCAATTCCCTGTTGACAGCCCCGGTGTCCGCGATACCATGGGGTGTCAAGCTCAACAGAGCTTCGCTGCCGACGCTCGTGCATCCATCCGCGAATCATCCTCGGATACGCCTATTCGCCTGCCGCTTGACGGTCCCCTGGTCTCTCTGCACTTCCTGTTCTTCTTGGAATTCCTCAACACGATCCTTGATTCGCGAGACACGCGGCAAACCTTAACGTGGCTCCTCGACATTGGCCGCTCCATCGTTCAGATCGGCTCTGTTGTCGTACACCGGCTACGACAGGAAACCGAATGCTATGCTGCGGTCACAAACTTTGTAGCGCGAAACGATCAAGAGGCCGTCTTCCAGACACGAGTGCTTGGATGGCAAACCGGAGCGGGGTGGCGCGAGCCGGCGGGATCCCTCATCTCATTCCTCATCGTCCCTATCTCGCGTTGCGCGCTCGAGTTCCAGAGACCGGGCTGGGGGCAGTTCACCTATTCAGTCAAATCGCTGCAAAATCATTTTGTCAACATCGTACGACAAGTTCGCAGTTCGTCTACCTCTGCCGATACGAATGTCGCCGGCATACCTACCCCGAACGACTGGCTCCTCGGTTGGGTGGCGCAGGCTCACCTTGCGTTGCCCATGATCGCTGCATTCGACCATAGCATTGCCACCTGTCCGACATTTTCTCTGGATGACATCCATACTCCGTTGTCGAGTACGATGGTCATACCGCCCAGAATTTTCGAACTACAGGATCTGGTGAGAATCAATTCATCATTCCACACTCGATCTTCACTCACTCATACTTTAAGGATGGTCGCCGCGCAGAAACATCGTCATCGGAAGCACAGTTGCAGCCGGCACTTTCGGGGACTCGGCGTAAGACCACGACCTTGTCGCGCCCTTATACGGTGTTCACCCGCAAAGCCTTTCGTGGACCACGTACGAGCGCTCAAGGACCATACGTACCTATCCCAGCCGTATTCCCAGAGGAGTTGGAGAGACGGGATGGAGAGACATTTCGGGAAGTTTAACAACCCCATCTCATAACCTTAGCTTGCCTTCAAGGCCCGCTCCATGACACGCTCACAATCTTCATACGACAAGAGCTTTCGGTTCTTACCAGTCTCTTTTTACTGTTAGCAGCATGCATTGCGAAGAGCAAACCCATGAGCAATGGGCATGGGCCCCGAGAAGAATTATAACGACTGCCGTACTCATCTGATCATCTGCTCCTAGAGAGACCTATACGAAAAGCGATAGGCGAGCAGCTGGTATGCACAAGGGTCCATGAAGTCCTATCTGTGTGTTCCGAGATCCGACGGAGACCCAGGACGAGAGGGTGCGTGGCGTAAGAGCGGCACTAGGAAGAGCACGAGACTACTGCATCTCGTACCGCACCCACAAGATGACTATGCTTGTACGGCAGAGAAGAAGAACGGCAGATAAGACGAGCATTCATCCCAGATGTGGAGCTTGAAGGACAATGGACGACACGAATGACGATCCGCACGAAGGAGGTAAGACATCTCGAGTCATACCCAAACCGGAGGTCCTTGGGTCCGGAGAGCGGGACCTTTGGGGCTACAAGAAGATGAATGTATTGGAAGGGGAAGTTACCTTGTGAAGCAAGGTCCTCAACGGCCTCAACCCCCGAAATGTCGCCATGACACCCGTGGAAATCAATTACATGAGCCAGGTAAGATCCTCGATTTCGATAAGATGAAGCGCTTTCGCCGCCTGGTTGCCGCCCGGGACGAGCTAGGTCGAGATGCTACTTATGCGCAGGAGATCCACGACATGCATAAGTACCCTATCTTCTGGGCAAGGTTGGCCCCACGGGACGCGAGAATACTCGAGTATGATTGGTGGTTCAAAACGAACGCGCGACACGCGACGCGCGTCTACTACGATTGTAACCCTAACGTAGGGGTAGTTGTTGGATGGACATCTCAACATGCCAGTACGTTGTCTACCTTATATCGTAGATTCCCGGCACACCTCAATCCTCCAGCGTCAAGAGATAGCTTGTGTCATCATGAATGGGATCATCCGAATTGAATGCGACCACCAGGCGTAAACATCAACGGGCTTGGACCGTCATCACGGAATCGCGTATTTATGGCACTTGTGCTGATTCCTTGCCTGTAGACGTAGAGCGCATCGCACAGAGTCTTGTCTAGACATTCACTAAACCGCGATTCGAAGTGTGGTAAGCATCGGGATGACAGCGGGCGGAATAGATCTATTTACCTCGGGCTGTCGGCGACATCCAACTTGCGCGGCCTTGTCATTAAGGCGGTCCATATCGACTGCAATATCCCTCGTTCCGTCGGCGCTGACAGATATTCAGCGCATAGCCTTGGTCCTTCGAAAAAATCGTAGTCGATCGTCAAGCCCGTCATTGAGTCGAATACCAACTGGAAAGAGTTGACGGACGTCGAATCCGTCGGCAGATGATCCAGTGTGGGTGTAAGAGAAACACTCCACGTATCACGGTCTCCGATCCACCTATCAACAAACCCGTCCTCTGGATCGCGTGAAGAAGCGGTGATGAAAGACCATCCCCGAGCAGTATACTTCTCTTGTACTGCCGTCAGATGGGAGATCGGAATGCCAGTTGCATCGAAAAGGCGAGACACCCTTTGATGAAATGTCATCCAGGGGAATAGACTATAAGCCATGTTATAAGTAACAATATTCATAACACATGCTAACGAGTGATCAGCCATAGATCTGAGCATGACTAGCGCAAAAGAGCTCACTGGAATGAAAGTTCAAGACGGCATCCAGCGGTGACCGGTGGGTAACAATCAGCTGAACCACGCGGTCTCCTCTCCGGAAATCGAGAACAACGGCTATACCAGCAAAAAGGTAATCTTTGCCAAAAAGAGGGTGTCGAAGTGCCGCATCGATTGCAACTTCCGGCGTGCACGGTTGATGCTGTCGAGGCACAAATTCGTAGTGTTCTCGATTGCACAGATGTCGCGCCACGTCGATCGCATAGTCGCAGACAACGTATACATCGAGATCAGCTCGAGGGTATTGGGCTCGGTCGAACAGCTGTAGCGCGGCTGACCCAGATATGATTGCGCCGGTGCTATACTGGAGGCCACGAAATTCGTTGCAATAAATTAGAAAGGGCGAAAGAATCCTGTCGGCTGAAAACATCCGTTCGAAATAGCCACGCAGTTGGTCGTTCATCGCACGATCCAGTCTCGCGAGGGTCGCCAGCTCACGAGGTTGTAAGAAAGCCAAGAATCGGTCTAGCAGCTCGAGACTGCCGGCACTTTACGGACAACTGTCAGTCAAAAAGTCGAATGGCAGACTTTACGCAGGAGACGTACAACACTGTGTTGAACGCAATGGGCTGTGCAGTATTTGCGACAGCATCAGGGGAGTTGAGAGGGGCAGACATTGGGCTGCTCACCAAGAAGCACATGAAGAGGCGCTTAAATATAGATATGCTTGCTCGCACGCTCAAGATATCAGTACGGAGACGGGATCCAAGTACATGGCCCATCAAGTCTCCGCTATACCATCCGTAAATCCACAACAGGTACATGGCGTACGTGAAACTTCTGATATGGCCTCACGGAAAGGGCTTCGTATGCCAAGAATCAGACACACCGCTCGTCCTATGCTTGCCCCATGTGGGTATCACGCCCAGGGGATGGGGTAAGATTGGAGTTCGGCGCAACAAGCGGACCGTATGCGATCTTCGCATCGGCAAGATATAATAAGTTGAGTATGATTGGCATCGAGGATTGGTCGACGGTTTACAGTAGTGAAGACGATGAGCACGAAAGACGAGGCCGATATGTACTTCAGGAATAAAAGGCGTTGCGTGGCAAGGGTATATATCAGCGAAACGCGAAACGGCAATGTGAAGGCGACAAACTATCGAGCCTTCTAGTTCGTGGATGATCTGCACACCAAACGAACACTTCGGCGTTCCACGCCACCGGTGAGAGACATCCCAGGTACGACGGTCTGCACGGTCGGGTAACGACTAATGATGACAGTTAGTCTCAATAAGGCGAAGAAGATATAGTTGCGCACTGGAGTGACTGCCTCGACATCTCATGATTGGCAGCCTGTTCAACAGGTTCTCGGACGTCAAGCATGGGCTGGTCCGACCAATCATCGTAGAATTCGACCAGTTTGCTGCAATGAACGTGCATATCAATCTCCGCAAAGGAAAGATCATTATCGAGAACGCGCTTAATCTCGTCTATAGTCTGGTCGACTTCGTGCGGAGAGAACAACCTAGTCGCATTAGCCCATATCATAGAGCGATTATTCGGAACACCAAAGAGAGTCTGCACAACTGCGCATCAGTAACGAAGCAAGCCTGATCCGAATTGCAGACGCACTTGGAAAGCCAAAATCCAAGCACCCAACAATAGTCTCTCGCACACAAGCCCATAGTTCAGGCAATCGGGCGGGATGACGAGACGCGGTTGCATGCGGTCCAGATAGACGAGGACGACGAGCAGGACGATGATGGGCGCTTCGGTTATAACGGCCATATGAAAGACGAAGGCCCGCGACAACCCTGCTTCCACCAGAGGCCAATTTGATCTCATAATGGACATGTTCTGCCTGTGCATGGTCCTGAAGAACACACGCTCCACCGCGTCCGCGAGATAATCTACGGTTCCAACCACGATGAGCGACGGCCAGCAGATACAAAGGCCCGATACGTACTGATCGCAGGTGCGCAGGTAGCCTGACCAACAAGGAAGCGGAACTCGCGAGTATAGACCACACCATCTACAAGAGCGCCTTCTCGCAACTGCATGTAGAAGTCAGCTGTTGTTCTCTAGTCAAGCGCATGCCTACGCACGATGACATTCGGACGGGACATGTTGAGCCAGATATGGTGTGCGTGGGGGTTAGACAGCCATTAGACGAAGTGTCGAGGCTTATATAGCTGGTCCTGCCTTCCTGAGGTTGAGAGCGTTTCGAGGATGAAACGAGTAATTCTGAGACACACATGAGTGAAGGCACCGGGGCCGTACACCTGGCCCATGGTGGTCGAAGGCACAAGCCGATTAGCGGGACGCCTCATGATGCCCGAGTCCGTCTTTTGATCCGCGGCGCGTGTCACGGCTCGCAGACTCTCTCTCTCTGTAGCCCAAGTATTGTCCGTGCAAGAGGCAACCCCCAGTACACGAAACGAACGTTATTTGATATTCCCACAGCAAGGACATGGTACGGTAGAATGTAGAATCAAATGCAAATACCGTTGAACGAGCCACGCGGCTAGATATGAACAGACGCTACCAAAAGAAGTTCCCGGAGACCAGCGAACCAACCTAAAACAAGTACAGAGAAAGGTTGTAATGCCCCGAGGCTCATTTGAACTTAACTGGGTTGCCACTTGGTGACAAGCAATGATAGTTTCGACGCATCACGATGGTAGGATCTTTGCACAACGAGGAGGCATGGAAAAGTTTATGCCACAACCAATGGGCATCATATCGATTGATTAAGTACAGGTTCTATATTTCCTAGGGGCAGGGAGACCGCAATCGTTGTTCACAAGACCATGATAAGAACTCTCGGGCCAACTATATAGATGCATCCATGCGCGCATTGCGATCTATCTTCTGCTTCTTGTCCGATTTCTTAGTGGACTCGTTGACCTGTCGGTCACCGCGAAGGAGTAACGAAACCGCTTCGAGGCGGAAGTACGCGCGCGTGCTGGTCCAGTTCGGTGGCTTGCCAACTATGTCGTAGTAACGACCAACGGAGAACTCAAGCATGACGATGTCGTCGCGCATCAGGTCGCTCGGACGTAACTTCTCCATGCCTTGCTTATTGGCGGAATACTTCTTCTCGCCATCGTAAATCTCCGGAAACGCGACGCCCTAGTTTCTGGTTAGCGCTCACGTTCACTGGAGATGGAGAAAGACGTTGAACGCACGGTAATCTTCTCTGAACCACGTTGCCGTTCACCGGAATCAGTATAAGCGGAAAGCGAACTCATGTTCTGGACCTCAATCTGGTTCTCTGCATCCAAAGTAAATCAGTAACAGCGCGAAAGAAGAGTGAACGGGATGCGTACGCGAGTTTGAATACTCCTTGATGATGTTCCTACAATGAAGAAAATCGCGATCGCGGAGACACTTGATGGAGATCTTCGGTCTGGTGGGATATTCCGACGTCCCACCCTCACCGCGGACGGGCAGCATCCCATTCCAGCTAACTTGTCCGATGCACATGTATCGTACACAAGTAGCTTGCCCTTCGGCGACCAGACGCGAGATGCCGACCTTCTTGGCGGACCACCGAAGATTACTGGGTTCATTCCGCACATAGTACATAGCCTCTTGATCGTTGGCGAACGTAGTGAAGATCACGAAGCGACTAGGTAGTCTCATGTAAGCCAATATACGCCCCCAAAGCGACGCGTTAACATACCGCAAGATCTTCCCCGCGACTGGCTTTCCATCATCTCGAATAAACGGCTCCTCTAGCGCGATCTCGTCCTTCTTCTCGAGCTCCAGTTTTGTTTGCTGCTTTACGGTCTTCGGTTTATCATCGGTAGCCTTATTCTTCCCGGTCGGTTTCGGCTTGCCCTTCGCATCACTTTTCTTGGGTGCGGTAACTGCACGATGTTCCTCAGCCGCGGCAGAAAGATCGGTGACGACCTGACAAAGATATGTTAGACGTTGGCTATACTGACAGACAGATGAAAACGCACCTTGCCATCTCCCTTGCTCTCAGGGTCAACAAGCGACATGGATCCGGCCCGAGAGATGATGCCCGGTATGCCATCGTCAGCGACGCCTCCTGTAGCCGTGTTGGCAGCGGCTCCACCAGACACGTCTTGCATGCGTGTATCGTCGTCGGGATCCTGCGCGCCTTCATCGTTTCCCTCATTATCGCTGTCCACACCCTGACCGTCGGCGTCGGACATAGCCACGTCTGTCTTGTCGCCAACTGGTACCGACACCGCCTTCGACTTGCCCTTCACGTTGATCTTTGCAATATGAACAAGATCCTGTGCGCCATACTCTTCAGAGTCGGACTGGTCCCTTGACCTTGATGCAGACCGTCAGTGTCATCTTCAAAAGGTAAACTTATAACCGAACGCACCCCGTCAAAGGTTCAGGATCTTCCGCCACGTCAGATTGTTCATCTGAATCGTAGACACTAGGATCAACTATAACGAAGGCAAGCTTCATCAGCATCTCTTCGCACCGTGCATAAGACAATACGAAGACTTACCCCCATCGGAAACGACCCATTCATTAGAGGAGTCTTTCTCGTCGTCGTGCTCTTCATCGGCGCCAGCATCGTCGCCAGCATCAGACCCATCTTCTGCCTCCACGTCCATAAAGTCTTCAACGTTCACGGCTTGCCCGTTGACGTCCTTAGAGGAATCGTGGTCTCTATAGCAGGATTCAATGGAGGTACGGTCGTTGAGACGACACTGAACGTACATGACTCTGGTCTTGTTGGCGGGCGGGGTCGAAGGCGGAGGCGATTGACTGAGACGCTTGCGAGTGCCTCGTGTAGTGACAGTCATGGATCTAACTAAGGTAGAGGAAGTAGCACTGGGCAGTGAGGAGATGAGGCCAACCACCGTAACCTCCAATCGTTTTATAGCCAGATATACAGGCACCAACGCTAACGGAAGGAATACTGCCTTAACACCGAGCCATACTATGGGCCATCATTCCGACCACTCGGTTCATGGTCGATGATGGAATGGAAGGCACGCGTCACATCTCCTTAGAACTGCCGTCTTGCGCAGGCCATCATGTTCCCGTCATGAGCGCGGCACACCTAGTATATCCACTGATCGTTCAGACTTCACTATCTTCCATGAGTCCCCCACTTCACGAACACACAGGTATGCGCGTCTTGCAGTCACGCGACAGAGCGACCTGATGAATAATAGTCAATTATGACCTAGGCGCCATCGGCGATGACTTCGAGGACACGCCTGTTGTCCAGCTTCAGTATGATGGCAGCAAGACAAGCGCTCTAGCGCTATGGGGTCACGTACCATCGAACACAGATCCTTCATCGTACGTGTGCGTCGCCCTCGATGTCTCTCATGGAGCCACAATCCGGGAGTACCGCATCTACTCCCACTCGTCCATACTTGCTCAGCGCAAGGCGGTATATCCGCAGCCCATCCATATAGCGTGGCATAGCTTCATTGAGTCTGTGAGCCGCCTTATAAGAAGAGACGGGAACCGGTTCGTGCTGCACTTAACGTATGACTTGGTGCGTATGACTTATGCTGGAACGCGCTGTTTTAGGGCCCTTCAAGACGCAAAGGGGTCCATACAACAGATGAAACTCACCAATGGCCGGTTCCGCAATCCATACAAGGACCAAGGTCTCGCCATATCGAACGTAGAGCAATGCATCATCGATACTCTGGTCGGATGCGGGCACTCTCATGATGAGCAAGCGACGCCTACGATAGACAAGGGATGGACGTTGAGGATTGAGCGTAAAGTGGCTGTCGAGGTATGGCATGTCGCCGCAAATCATCTTGAAGTTACTGAAGACTGTGATAGATCAGTGCAAGCACAACGCCTGCACTGTCTGCTACCAGCACGGACATGCAAAGCATTCGCGCACGGCAAATGGCACCTATGTCTCGCCTGGATGGGTCGAATGGTGAAGACCATGGCGCCAAGAACATGTCTCCCAGCGACTTTGTACAGGTGATCGTCAAACTTGTGGCTCTGGTCTGTCCTGGTGAAGTCGACGTACCTGCGACCATAACCATGGCGTTCGATCTGCTCTCCTTCATCCGTTTCCTGGCATCCAAAGAACCTATTTTGGTGAAGAACTGCAACGACTTGCAGGTTGAAAGTCCGCTGATAGCTTTGCCCATAGACCGTACCGACAGAGATTGAGGCGCCGGTTTCTGGGTCGCTGCCACTTGAACTGTGAGACAAGAGCAGAGGGGACGACGGCAGAGTAGGGATGGTTTGAAAGGACAAGCAAGTCACATTGCACTATGGTACTATACTGCTCCACACTTGCGAGAGCGATGAAGGGAAGAACCAAAGTCCATGCGTGGACGACGCGGGAAGACGTGCGACGGATCAAAACACGTTAACGGCCCGAGACTCGGGCGTCTCCTGGCCGAGCCCCTTGTACCTCGACGTCGTTCCATACCAAATCACATTGCGAGACTACCCTGCATCCTACCTCCGACTGTGCACCCATGTAACTCCGGAACCCGCCGCATAAAACTCCCGTGAACAGCTACCGACGTACGCTCGACATTGCCAGTGAGGCATGCGGCTCGCTGGCATTCACCTGTACCTGTCTGAAGGTCCACGCCAGCTTACGGGTCCTGGCTATTGCATCTTGGCATCTTCGATCATGCCATTATTGCATGCTACCTCACAGCGTCTGATCAAGGACACTTTCGTACATCGCAGCTGCGTACGACGTTTCCACCCCGTGTTCAAATATCGTTCTCACAGTACACGCAGATCCAACCGTCTTGTGCGCCGCCAGAAAGGCTCGGCCATCACGAAGACTCTAGGATATCATACCATACAGTCTGGACAGTCATATAAGAATACACGCTGCACGGTAGTCTGGCAACATGAAATGCCCGACCAGTGCGTCCCAATAAGAAGAATTCGGCTCGCCTACTGATCGCTTTGCAGACAACTTGCACAGTTTCTATCGCTCCTGTCCAGTCTCGATTCCGGTCAGACAGATATCTCGACCGTCCAGCCATCGGAACTCGCTGTCGGTCTAGTGCTCGTAAGAAAGCTATACGCACACACTTGCAGTTGGATCAACGCATCGAGGTATGTTCTCCCGTGTACAGTACGCTCAGCGCTCTTCTGAACATACTCTAGAACTGTGCGACGCGAGATACGCCTACCGTTCGAGATCATTCGCGAGATCTTCTACATATTCGCAGACGCCAACACACCCCTACTCGGCTCTTCCCGTCGTGAGGATTCAGGATGGCACGTACTGCTTCGTCTATGCAAGAGCTGGTATCGTAACCTGATGGAGGACGGGCGCTTTTGGGCTATTGTTGCTCCGCACAATCCGTCAACCATGCCAATCACCATGCAACGTGCCGGGCAATGGACTTCTTGTTTCGTCTTAACGGAAATCTTGCCCCGTGCGGTCGCAAAGATACGACCTGCCATCGAGCCTCTCGCGCTAGCTGCTTTCGAACCGTCGAGGCACCACGTCATACACGTCGAACGGAATCAGCGAGCGTTCGAAACCCTTCACAAGATCCTTACCGTAGCGGCATCAACGAACCTGGATCGACTGGAGAGTCTGACTATGCGAAGCAATGCATACGGTCAGACGTCAAGACAAGCAGACGAGATGTCAAGGTATGGCATCAACTACATTGAGTGCGCAACGCAGACAATCTGACAAGATCAGCAGAACCTTACACGCAGGCTTTCAAGACGTCTGGATCCGTGCTTCATCTCTCAAGTACGCAAATTTTCACGGGATGAGCGCCAACCTCCAAAGCGACAGTCTACGCACGTTACTCATATCCTATCGCTCCTGGTCGACCGCACGACCGGCGAACTCCACCCTAATCGACACCTTACGCCGCTCTGGCGACAAACTCGAACGAATGGAGTTGCTATGGGCAACAGGATCTCCCTCTTCCTCCACGTCGCCGGTCACCTTGCCCAAGCTCACAGACTTGTTGCTATGGGGCGAAGACGTGGATGTCATGAACGTGTTGCAGCTCGTTCAAACGCCTGCTTTGCACACCGCCAACGTCTTGCTCGAAATCACAAGTAATCGAGACGCAGCAGTCATCCTGGAGAGACAACTGATGGAGCGAATGCGTACGTGCATAAGATAATCCACACAAGTATCTCGCACTGATGGTCACTAGAACCTGCGGGAGACTGGGACACCATTCGCGTGCGTATCTCTGATAAGACCACCAACCATTATGGTCTATCCATGAGTGTCTCCTTCTGGAGACGAGCTGATCTGAACGCGCTGGGCGCAGTGGTGAACCTACGCGCGGACAAACCGCGTTTGAGCATCAGTCTTAGGACGAAAAGTGAACTTTTGACATGGGCGGATCTAGCCGGACCACTACTATCGAGAGTGCGGCGCGCCGCGACAGTCTTGTTGCAGTTGCCCGATGATACAGTAAGAACGGAGAAGGAGGCATTGGACACGCTTGAGCGCACAGCTGGACGCTCGCTTGACAATTTCCTATTTGAAATTACTGCACGTACTATACCGCTCGATGACTATGATGCCGTGAACATTGCCAGTATATATTAGATGCCTAGAGTGTATCATATGTACGCAGCAAGCCGCTTGGCCTCATGCACGGGCTTCCGAGAGCTATGGACAAGTAAAAGCTGCCCTGCACGCCGGTTCGGATCAGTCAATCCGCGTGCGTCGAAACAACCTGTGCGCAACCGCCATCTTCCTTGACGATGTACCACGATGACCTTCAGTATACCTGCTACAAGCTTTGTCCCACCTCCGAAACCCAATACTCGGAGCTCATATGAAACACATACAGCCTGATTGCTCAACAACCGCTTACTGTTGCCGGCACCTGAACGTCCCATCTACCAGAAGATTCACGCCGGCCCACAGGTTCCTGGCTCTTGCATTCCATGTGTTCAACCCTATTATATATACATGCCATCTTCGAAACACCTGACAGGAGTCCTCATCTCTACTCTAGCGACGGTTCCCGTAAGAAGTCCGTTCTTTATCGCGCCCAGCTCCTATCTCTCAGCTCATACATAGGCCGAATCCTACAATGCGGCATCAGAAGAGCATGGCCAGCAAGACCAACGCAGCTGTCAACAAACCTTCGGAACGGCGCCCGACGCGCGCCATCGTCTGGACCAAGCAACCTGTACGAAGGAGAGTGGAACGCAACACACTCGAGTGCGTGTTGATTCACACATCTCTGACACGCGTACTGAAGCCACTACAGATCTTCGGCATATCGCCTACCCTCTGAGATCCTTAGCATGATCTTCAAGTACACCACGGAAGTGGCAGGCGGTCCAGTCAATGATGCACGCCATTGGCAACTCAATCCAGGCCGGCTACACGGTCCAGGCTGGTTCGTCTTGCTCTGGGTCTGTTCCAAATGGCGCCGCGTTCTGATTGCGGACGCATCATTGTGGGCTGCTTGCTATTCTCAATATCCCAAACTACAAGAAACCTTCCTCGCCCGTGCTGGCCTAGTACCCTTGACCTATAGGCATACTGCCTATGAACCCCGCCTATCGCCGTACAGCGCAATGTTCCGTGACGATGACGAGCAACTCGCGAAGTTCTTCTTTGACACACCCTTCGAACGCTGTTCCGAGATATACGTCTCGGATGGCCGTGGCAACGACGTCACTGACTATATTTTCCAACTATCAGCATTATCCATCGAGCACCCGTTAAGACAGCTGCGTAAGCTTCACCTCGAGACATGGCCCTGGAATTGGTCGGGAGGCATTGCGAGGTATGTGAAGTTCTGTCTGGTCGCCTGGGAGAGGCATTTTACTCACGGCGTCCTCAACAGTATGCTTTGCCAAGGTCGAGACGCGTGCACGATTATTGGCGAGCAACTGGAAGACGTTTACTTCGAGAACTGCTGGACGATTGTCAGTTCTCCCATGCTCAAAAGACTAGCATCCGTCTTCAAGACCAACCAGCTCACCCGTCCGACCATACACGTATTCTATCGCGCTATGAAGGTCATGTGTGGCAATACGCTCACGCATCTAGAGCTCACCAACCCTATAGGCGGTTCATATCGCGATGACGTCCGTCAATACACGGCTGATCCCATCGCATTACCGTCTTTGACGCACATGAGTCTCCTTGGCTACGCCCCTTACATCGCCAACATCCTTCGTATCATCACATGGCCCACCGACAGCACGAAACTGAAAGTCAAGACCATCGTCGGGGACGGACCCCAACAAAGTTTTCTCGACGAGGAAGATATCCTGTCGCTGTGCTGTACGTCTGACTCGTACATACGTGTACATTCTGGCAGCGCTAACACAGAGAACAGTTCCTGGAACAAATCGCTCGAATTTTCATTCGCTGTCTGTAGAGCACGAAACGGACATGGGCGTCGCCGACCGAATCATACTACGCTGGTGGTATGAGAATTGGCGCTCATACACACATCAGGCTCCCGATCCTGATATACATATATCGTTTGGCGGCGCCTACATGCCCTGCATGTGGTACGAGACGACCATACTAGCCTTACAAGCATGCGAATCTACATCTATCCTTCTACTTATCCTGGCTTTACGCTCGCACGACTACCGTAATACGGAGATCCCTTGGGAGCGAATCTTTCTTCTCTTGCCCCATCTAACAGCACTATTCCCTTGGAAACGAGTGATGAACAATATCGGACCAGTAGACGATACACACACATTGGGTAGACAGTTTCGTACGCGAGTCTTGGATTTCGATACTCTCTAGCTAATCTTACTTATGCTTTTACACTGCCGCTGCACATTCAATCTACCAGTCAATGTCCATAACACACAAAGCAGATGCTTGACAACATGCCCTTGAGCCTATCCATCTAGTGTACACCACGAGTATCGCCGTCCCGCGCTCCGAGTACGGGTATATATATACCACGGAGGCAGGCACTGTCGACGGCACCCGCGGGAATACCCGTGACGAACACTATACCCATCTTATCCTTGTATTGACTCCTGCGATGTGCAATGCACCTAGGTCAGGACGCGGCGGCAAGGCTATTGGCCCAGACCAGAACCCCCATCCTGGTTCCCCGCAACTCTCATCGAATGTAGGGCGATCCCGCAGCTCTTGCACAGTGAGATCCAAGTCGAAAGAGTGGCCCGCTTTATCTCGTAAGCGAGCGATGCAGTCTGACATCGACTGTACGGCGTCGGACTGCAGCGCGTCTGATACACAACGCAGGTTAATGGACGTCAAAGACGGTAGTAGACCACCGTCATTGACGGTACGCGCACTCAAGGTGAAGAAGCGAGTGAGTACGGTACTCTCCACCTCGGCAAATCTCTCGCGAGACTCCGTAGGAAGATATCCTTCGACGGGCCATGCATTTCCGAAGGAGATGACTGGAACAGTCACGTCCAGCGTCTGTAGCGTCGGTTGCATGGCAACGATCGTGAAGACGATTTCACGCGCGAATTCGAGTAGACCTGTTTGGATGCGGAAACTGCGATCGAAGAAGATACGCATGATAGGAAGACCATCCGGATATCCTGCAGGCGTGGGTGGCCGTGCGCCGCTAACAACCAAGTCATCTTGAAGGTGTATACTCGAGCACCGACGGCGGCGCAAGAGTGGGGCAATCGTACGTAGGATAGACCCCACAAGACCTTGCACATGATTGTCGAGCGATTGCGTATATGCTGACCAGTCCTCTTCGTAGTGGACGCTTGCTGGCATGAACGACGTTGTCATCAACGTAGGGAGTTCCAGTCCGTTAAGTAGCTCGGCCATATATTTGGGGCCGAGTGTGATCGATAAATGTACCAGATGAGGTAGCATGACTCGTGCTGTTCGGCTTGTACGAGAGTCCTCGAGACTACTGGAAGATAAGGATAAGCATTGGAGACCCTTGCACCTATCGAGTTGTCCCAGCAACTCCATCACAGTAATCTCGCGCAGTTCGGTCAAGGAAAGAGTTTGTAGAGTAGAACCGTCCCACATTGCGGAGATATCTGGCAGAAGTCCTCCGATCTCAGCTATGCTGGCTTGCTCCAGAGCGGGTGCACGAACGCCGATGAAAGCGCGCAAGAAAGGATCGACTTCGCCACATGTTACATAGACTGTTCGAAGTACAGGCGCCTCTGTGCCCGGAGAGAACTTGATCTCCTTGAACACGTCATCAAACGTCATCCCTGCCAAGTGGAATTCAAGGCTTTCGATGCGATGTAAACACGCTTTAACCACCTCTGCTACAAAGCGTATTCGGCGAGTGAGGTTGCCGCGTTGGTAATCGACGCCCAGGAAGATGCGGAGCTTCTGTGTGCCGCTGCGTCTGAGCGTCTCTTCCAAACGAGGGACAGAATGCTGAGACGATATGGACGTCCACATAGCACTGCGATCCATACAGCGCGCACGCCATCCGCGACACACATGGCTTAAGCTCCAAGCGTTATCTGTCCCCGATATGGACTGAAGAAGAATGTCCTCGAGAAGTTCTGCAGGCAGACTGTAGATGGTAGCGGGCGCGGGCAAGATGTTAAGGACCGTCTGGTTCATCGTAGATGGTGGTAAGGAGAGAAGGTGCGGTTCATCTTCACGCGAGGGGAACGGACATCCGGGCCGGCGGGTAATAATAGCGGCTTTCTCTGTCATGAACTCGTCCATCTTTGCACAGCTTCGCACTTCGGAACGCAAATGCTCATCATCAGGTGTACAAAACCGGACACATCATCTTGCATACCGAAGAGAGAGATCGGCAATCCGTTAGCAAGCCCCAAAGGTACAGACATTGGCATTGGTTACAACGAAGGGCGCGTCAGACTACACTGGCTACTACTGTACGTCATCGCCTGGCGTAAGTCCTATCGTCTCGCCCGAGATATACCAGTCATGTGGCGCTGGGTCTGCCTAGTAGAAAGTAGGAAAATCCCAGCTTCCATCCACCTCCTGATCCATCGTCCACGTCACACTGGTGTTAACCCTGGGAACACTCAGGGCGCTCAAGTCGGGTCGTGCAGGTACGTCAAGGTCGTGTTGGTAAACGATGATCGACGGCGTGGCGGGTGTCTCTGCATCCACCGCCCAATATCCGGTAGATGTACCATCCTCCCATATGAGGTTGCCTTGCACCTCTTGAGCGACGAGTGCAAATCGGAAGCTGTTTCCCGCCTTGGCTCGGAAGCGTCGAAGGCAACTTGAAATTGCTAGCAAGGTGGCTGGTCGTGACAGTGCATCCGAAACGCAACGCAGACTGACCAAAGTCAACGCCGGTAAAGGTATACCACAAGTATCCGACCATGACTCTGGAGAGAAGAGAGCAGCAACAGTACTGCCCTCCCTCTCCGCAAAAGCGGCTCGAGTCACGTTGATAGGGTATTCGCGCTGTAGGATCCAGCCTCCATCGTGATCCAAAACAGGAACCGACACATCTACCGTCCGCAAAGTTGAATGTCCGGCGATGACAGCAAACATCATCTCCCTTGCGAAGTCGAGTAAACCATCCCCTCGGCCGAAGGAACTGGAGAACCCGATCATCGCGATCTCACCGTCGGCAAAATAGTCGTTGGGTTCGGGCGACGGCACGGTTCCACCAAAGGTCAACCGCTCCCTCAATGAGATGGAGGTGCAATGACCACGATACAGGGCGGGGTTGAGGATACGCAGGATGGAGGACATGAGCCGTCTAGTTTGATCTTCATGAGGATGTATGGCCCGTCCATGTACGTCGTCTTCTTCTGCCTCCGGCATGATATAGATCTGCGCCAGCGCCCCTATGTCCAAACTGTCGAGAAAGTCGGTCAAGTCTTTGACAGACATCGCCACGGCCAGATAGACCAGCTTGGACAACGCGACAGGCGAAGTTCGGCGGATTTGACTTGTAGCAGATCGTGTGAGCTTGCCGCAATGCAGTCCCAGGTTTCGCAAGCCGGGACATGCACCGAGCAGTTGAAGCAGCTCTTCGATCGCGAACCCATGAATGATCTCAAGGGAGACAACCCGGAGGCAAGAACCTCTCCATAGGTCAAGGAACTTGTACGCGGTGGCCCCGCCGTCGTATATGTAGCCTTTCTCGAGAGCGGGCGCGAGTACAGAACCAAGCCAGTGAAGGAGGGGGTTGAAGCCACGAACTTTGACGTCGAGTTTGCGTAGTTGAGGCGCGAATACCCAGCCAGTCGCGAAAGACATGCTTTCGCAGGCTATCGCGAGATCGGACCCCACCGCGCTGCATTGCAGGCTCCTGATGCGATGAATGTATTGCATCGCGATCCACACCAGGTGGCGTATCTTCGGGCGTCTATTGCGGCGAGCTGTGGTTATCCGGACGTCGAGCAGCTTCGTGCCAGAGCGGATGATCGATTCGTCCATCATAGCGACGGTCGAATGCTCGGTGGACAGGGATGTCCACAAGGTGGGGCGTTGGCAACGTCTGTACCAGAGCTGGCACACATGGCTGAACCGTAGAGGATTGTCCTCGGGCGGGAACGCTTGCTCGAGGATATCATCCAGTACTTCCAGAGGAACATGGTGGATAGTAGCACGAGGTACGCGAGTAGAAGGCATGCGAGCGTTGCGAATGAAAGGTATGCGGGCGACTACAGCGGAAGCATGTAGCGAATCTGCAAGCTTTACGCTGTAGTCAATAATCTATGTGTATAGCCACCGACCCAGGAATGTGGCACGCCGGCCATCTCCGAGGTCGCTGCGGGGATACACGGTTAAAGATCCAGAGGTGCCGCGGACCGTCCTGCACACTAAGAGGATGAGATCCAGTAGTCTGACATACTTACGCTCCTACCGGAGGGAGAGCGTCTATTCGTCGAAAGCGTGTCCCGGTCCGACATGTATTCTCGAGTCGCCTCCGCGCGCTTCTTTGGGAACGGCCGGGTCAGGAAAAGCCAGCCAGGCTTGCAAAACATGTACACGCATGTAGAAGACCCCAACGAGGCAATTGTTGACTGCGACCATGATTGCAAAGATATCTATTCGTAAGCTGGTACAGTAAGATACAAGTAGGACAACTAGTATACGAGGACCTTTTGACCATACAAACGTCCTACCAACATGAACGCCGTGCCGACGCGTCGCTTCGCCCTGCGACGCAGAAGCTCGAGTAGCCTGAAAAACGTGAGCTCAATTTGAAACTTGGCCCAGATAGTAACACACCTGAGCCTTGGCGAGTGAATTCTCTCAAAAAGGTGTGAAAGGGTAATGCCTATCGAATGATGTCAGTTAGGTGCAGTGAGAGGCGAGCATGGAAAAACACGGGCGCACAGGATAGTGCGCCGTTCGCACGGACCAAATTGAGCAGTATAGTATCCCTGTTGCAGAGATGGTATCGGTACACCGGAGGTGCAAAGGGAGTAAGGACGCGCGTCAAAGGAGCGAGTGCGACGAGACGGCGAAGGTAGTGGTGAGAGGGAAGGAATCGAAGACATCGGGAAGTCAAGGCCGGGATCAAGCGCATGACGTCATGAGCGCCAGCAGTCCAGCGGCGTCCGGAGTCCGTCGCGCGCAGGCTGGCTCTGCACATACCATGAGCTACGGTAGGGTATCTAACACTATTGACCAGTAGGCAAAGCTATGGATACCATGACATCTCATGCCATCTGATGAACTAAGCTTATGAAATCTTGAACGCTTGCCTATACCCTTACGAATGCCCGGTGAGTCAAGGTCTTCCGGGTTCTTGTATAATATTTCCTATACCACTGAGTTCCAACGACATGTGCACGGTGTCTTCTCATCTCGCATCTGGCGCGTTTGAACCCCGCCAGCTGTGAAGTACATCTCAAGTCGGTATATCACCGCTACGGCATGAGCGTTGGCCGCGCGGATCCGCGATCTGCCTTCAACTTCAACTACGCCGACGACGTGAATCCAAATGACTGCATTCATGCGCTCGGTGGACGCAGATATGTCTACCAGATATGCCGTCCCTACCGCAAGTTACAGCGTCTTCGGCACCCTGACAATCACATCATTTCATCGACAATCACTCTCGCTAAACCACCCTCACCCCCCTGAAGCTGCAGGGTGGTTTGCCTGAGCCACTTATATGGAAACGCCCTCTGTGAACCTGATACCTCAGCCTCTCATTAACCTTGTACCCTCACCATGACCGCCTTAGCGCCAGGTGCTCGGTCCTCTGAACAGGTGAGCACAGCGTACATCAATTCTGTACGACGTAGCTGATCGGCCGTTTCCAGTCGGCACGCGAGGAGGTCCTGCAGCTCCATGACGTTATATGCATCATACTCGAACAGCTCGCGGCTATCCGGCAACCCTCTCTAAAGCGCATCGAACGGCGAGATGGACGTGAGGTCGCGATCGTTGACTTTGGTTGGCTGAGCGCCAGATTGGTGTGCCGCGCATGGAATCTAGCATACCAAAAAGTACGGCCTGTAATCTTCGCCGAACAACTTGCCGCCATACCATACGCCCCAGCGATCCAATACTTTGCATCCTACGTAACAGGGACCGCTCGCTTGGATCTCGACGCGATCTTCAAGCTGTCCGCTTCCCGTCCTGAGCTGAAGTCTCGCATTCTCGACGAAACGTTGACGGCAGACTGGTCGAAGATGGCGAGCACACTCAACATCACTCTCGGCTACGCGGCCTCGGTCAAGTTTCCCCACATGTACCTCACGCATCACGGAGACGATGTCGCAAGCCTGGCGAAGATGGCCCTCACTGGAATCAGTAGCTTGCCACTCACCAATCTAACTCACTTGACGCTTGCAATCCCCGAACCGCCGCCAGGATCCGCTTGGAAGCCGCTTTCCCTCTCGCAGGTGAAGACAGCGCCGGTTCTTCGTCATCTTCACTTGGTGGCAATCACCCCTCGTCGAGACCACTATATCAGGACCGTCACCATCCGTCATGTGCTCGACGTGCATGAGCTCAAAAATTTCCTCGAGCCATTCAAGTCGCTTCGGCGCCTGCTCGTGCATGGATTCGTCATTTTCGACAAGGACTACTCTTACGCCCCCGACACGCCGCACAGTCCCGACGACCCGCCTTTGGAGCTCTCAGCCGACATCGACGTGATCTCACCCTCTAGCGTTGATTCCATCGACATCCTGACAGCGCACATTCACACGACCGGCGCTTTGAGCATTATCACAACCGTCAGTGACGACGCCCGCGTCCATGACCGAGTTCGGTTCCTACGGGACATTCAGTCGATGACACGGAACGAATCCAACGCTCTGACTGTCTACCATTCTTCGTCCGCGGTCATACTCTGCTTCCATCACCTTCGCGCCGACGGTTCGTCGGACGCACGCGGCCTGAATCTACTTCATCCGGACTTTGTACGCGAAGTCGGTCTGGCCAAAGACGACCATTGGCCCCATCGGGCGAACATGCATTTCCAGTCCCCGCACGCCTTCACAATATGGCCCATCGACAGGAGACACCTGAAGACTATCGTCGAGAACTATGCGCGCCGGATCAAGTTCCTTGACATCAGACGTCTCGGGTCGATCGAGGAATACAAGACTTGCATTCCCTCCGATGGCGTCAATCTCAAATGGGAACACTTGAGCTGTCACGGTGCCTACACCAAAGACTGGTCGATCCGTGGCGACCACCGCTCTACGATCGACGCGATTATAAACGTGATATTCAACGGTGCGCCGGATGAAGAGGAAGAGGAAGAGGATGCTGAGGAAACGGTGACAAGGCTCAATGAGATTGCCAGCCTGGGGTCGGACGCGTTTAGTGATGAAGAGTACATGGACGTGGAGGAGGAGGAAGAGGAAGAGGAAGAAGACCACACGACGTTGCCTGGATTCATGCGATGGCTCGAGAGGTTGATAGGGGACGGGGAAGGTGAAGGACAACATGGGGGAGGGGATGGCGTCACATACGCCCACGACGCGACGTGAGAGCCGTAGTCATGCTCTTCATCGCCTTTCTATCTCTCGTTCGTTACATGTACTGTAGTGCCATTGTCCGTATACATGCATTCACATACTACCGCTATGCGCATCCAGAGTAAACAGTTGCGAAACAGGTTTAGGCGAGCGCTAAAATCCGTGATGCGCGACAACGACGCGCGCGCAACTTCCTCTCCAAGACAGCAAGGTAGCAATACGGATTCACTAACTTTGCTAGTGGATATTATCGAGTCATGTACAGTATTTTTGGGATGAAAACAGTCAAAGTAAAAGATAAGATGAGTGAACCAATAAGAAAGGTAGAATTGGTAAGCTAACCGGTAGCTAGGGGGAATTTGAGAGGCGAGGAGGAAAAGAGGGTCCTGAAGGCACAATCCGGAGGCTAGAATGCCGTAACTGGATAGAATGAGAAGAGAATAAGAAGGGAATAGAACGTATGCAAGTTACTAGGGTGCGGAAGAGCCAGGGACTGAGACGCTAGGGGGTACGAAGTTCGAGAACCGGGAAAATGGAGGCAAATGTGTGTGCGCCGACGCATGCTGCGGCTGGTTCAAAACGTGCCTGAATATCCGGTACCACATGCTGCAGTAGAAATATCGTACAAGCAGACTTAAGGCACGAGCGTACATGAAGACGCTGGGGAGAAGGTCAAAGGGAGAGAGGTGCCACACGGCGGGGCCACGCGCGTGAGCGAATCACGGCGAATGCCGAGACGCATCTTGCCCTACGCGTCCTGGCGCCAAAGCCGAGCCGAAAAATAGCGCGTCAACAGGATCACGGTAATCCAGAGCTGGCACACATGGCTGAGCCCTAGAGAATCGCCCTTCGAACGCTTGTTGGTGAATATCATCCTGAGGAACATGGTGAATAGTAGCGCGAGGTACGCGAGTAGAAGGCTTGCGAGCGTTGCGAATGGAAGGTATGCGGATGATTGTAGCGGAAGCATGTAATAGATCCGCAAGCTTTGTGCTGTAGTCGACACTGTACACATATAGCCACCGTCCCAGGAATATGGCACGCCGGACATCTCCGAAGTCGTCGCGGAAATGCACGGTTAGAGATTGAGAGGTACCGCGGACCATCCTGCATGCTGTTTGAACTTTCTGACGTAGCATGGCCTACATCATGTACAGCTAGGCCGAACCGTATCGAAGTTCAGAGAGAAGCTTGCGTGTGAAGAACATCCATCACGTGCGGCACCGAGCCAGTTGCCCGGCTAAAACGGTAAATGATACATCGAAACCATCACCACTGTATAGCGAGTGCACATGAAGCCCGTCTACAACACCCGACGTAAAGCCATGCGGAAACGGCAGCGGTACGCAGTGTACGACAAACCCAAGGCGATTGATAATAAAAGCGAACTACCGAGTCTGCACGACGACCTATAGCGCCTCCCCGCTGTCTTCGGCCCCATGTCATCCAACGCTCTTCGCACGCCTGGCACTATTGACAGCATCCCGCCAGAAGTACTGGACAACATACTTGAGGGAGCGATCCCTTATCACGGCACCCCCCTGCGTCTTAGCCACGTCTGCAGGCTCTGGTACAGACGCTGCCAACACGCCACTCTATGGACGACTATAACCTGTAGTCAATCCATCGACTTGGCGAACGCAGCAATCCTCCGGTCCGGAACAGAGTCGCTCGACATTTCGCTATCTTACTTCCCTCGCCACAACTACGTTCCCGAACGCGTACGCCATACAGTGTGGCTCGTCACGAGGCACATCCATCGCATCAGGAGCATCGAATGTTACGCAGAGAAGGAGGTTCTAGAGGCATCCTGCCAGGGCATGGGATTCGCTACGCACGACGTCCTTGCGCCCAGACTGCGCGTTCTTGACATCCAGTCTGGCGCGGACAACGCCTTCTTCCACCTGCTGCGTTCTGTACGCGCACCCGCTCTCGTAAACGGCACCGCCTTCGCCTCAAGGGCCTTCGCGCACGGACTCCTTAACTCGTGGAGAGGTCAATACCTTCAGACCCTCTACCTCGAAGACGTCGAGGGGGTATCGGTCGAGCACCTGCACGAATGCCTGAGCGCCTGCCCCGACCTACGGGACCTATTCGTGACATATGGTAGGCTCCCGCCAGCTCCCGCAAGTCAGCCCCAGCGGATTTCACTCGTCACTCTACCCAAACTCACCTACCTCACCGTGGTGATGAATTACAACCACTTGGTTCGCTTCCTCGACGGTCTCGACGTCGCAGCGTTGGTGAAGACCGACATCGTGCCGGACTGCAACCAGGGAGACGAGGAGAGTCGCACGTTGCACCCTCATGATGAGCGCGTGAAGCGTCTCATCTCTTGCATTGTACAGTTCGTCAGCCCCCTCCTGCACCGCCGCCATTGCCGCCGCGTCGAGTTTCGCGACAGCTTGACGTTCTACGGAGACGAGTTCGATGACATGCACGAGTGGCTCTGCCCCGAGGACATGATCGCGACGATCGGGTTCCCCAGTCTTGGTGACCGACAATCCGGTGTACTCGACTTTGCACGAGAGGTTGCATTTGGTGTCGTCGCGAACCATTCGACTCTGGAATCGCTAAACGTCGTTGTCCCGACCTTTCGCTACGACAAGGGCTGGACCACGGACCGTCACCTTCCCATCAACCTATCTCGGGCCGCCTTCGCACAGATAGAGAGTGCCGTCGTTGCCGCTCTTTTCACGCCAGAAGTGTGGTCGGACGCCAGTGGCGGACTTTTACCAATGCTGCGTGACATCCGTATTCGCTGCATCTCAGACGCTCTGCAACCGGTCGCTGTACGTTCGATTGCCAGGTGCCTCGAGATCTTTCAGGCTAAAGCCGGACACGACATCAACGTGGAGCTCGTGTGCCACCAGTTGGAAGGCTTTGTCGTGGCTTTAAACGACTCTGGAGAGCAGCCGTGGACAAACCCAAATGTGGGCCCCCCAGCGAATATGGATGGCCGCGTGTCCGACTTCCCTCCACCCAAAGCTTCCGATCTGGCTGTCACTGTCGTCCAGGCCCTGCGACGTCCTGCTATCAAAGTCCGAGTCAAGTACGTGTGGCGCCAGGCATGGGAAGAAGTCTGATATTGTCGACAAGAATCGGATACTCAACCGAAAACGCACTACCCGTACTACAGAGTTCTCGCCGTCTTTTTTGTCCTCATCATGTACAAAGTCATGTCCGATCTGCTTTTCCTATGATATTCACGATTTCCTTTCCTTGAAACCGACCGCAATCCGCATTCATTGTTGATAGCAAGCGTATCTATACGAGATCCACAGTATACACTCTCAAAAGAACTACAAGACAGATACATGTCCATCCTCAAATCGTAGAAGCCCCACCCGGCCTTTGCCTACCGATGTCGACGCCTGACCTCAACTTCGTATATTCTCCAGCATGACATTGTCAATCTCATACCAGCGATTCTTGCAGCGAAGGGTCCTTGTCCATCGAGCAATACCTCACGGGAAACAACAAGGTATCGTCTGAGAGTATGCCGTATACTTCGGGCTGCGTAGTAAGCATATAGAAAACGTCCCTCATGAAAATGAACGGGTTCAAGACGCATTGAACCCGGTCTGACTGAACAGACCGACGCTTTAACAGGGACACGATAGCATTGGCAGCGGACTTGTCGAAGGTAAATGGCCGGTAGATCACCCTCTTGAGGAAGGGGAGGACGACGGTATCCGGCTGAACAGCCCGCAAGACGTTGAAGATGCAACAAGCGTCACGCGCACTAGCGCCAAGTTCCACACACTGAACAAATTCCAGCCCCCTGAGGGCCTCACGCCAACTGTCCTCTGAGGTCCTGTACCCCTGGGGTATGTTCAATGTGATCGACCGTATTGAGCGCATGAGCCCAGGGCGAGCCATGACAGACAAGGTCATGTCGCGAACAACCTGGTAAGTCAAACCGGCCCCAACGGCGAATCGAATAACGGGGACTGATTGCGATCTCGATGAGTTCGAGAGGGGAACACTCCGTTTGAACTCTGCCGTATATGCCAGATCTACTTCATCACAAGGATGATCTTCGATGACGGCTGTGATAGCACCGTATATGCCTTGTAGATCGGGCAACGGCTCGGCACGCGTGGCGTAAGCATGCAGCGCCAGAAGGCTGAGCTTCGGCAGTGTAAACACTACCAGCAGCGTATCCATATCAATAAGTTCGGTGTAGAGCGTGAGCCGTTCGAGCTTCGGAAGAAGTAAGGAGCCCGGTTGTCGAATGCGATCGCGTGATAGATGCAACGACGTCATAGTAATCTCTAGTTCTTCCAAGGTGTCCATACGCTCCAAAGCGCGCATGAAAGATGAAGAATCAATGTCCCGAATGTTGACAAAGATGAGCGTTCGAAGTGACCGCGCCCACCGGCCTACATCAGGAGGGCGACGCACGGCCTCAAGATGCAATGAGTGCAGATTACGCATCTGCCTCCCTGCGACATTCTTGAAATCAAGACTGGTAGCGATACGAAGCCCTTGAAGCTCTTCGAGCTCTTCAGATCCCGTCAGAAACTGAGCTATCAAAGGATAGACCGTGGGCATGAGGTTGTCCCCAACTTGAAGCTCGACGCCCTGTAGGAGATGTTCCACGTCGATGCGACGAGTGCGTTGAAGAACATCCATCTCTAACATGCCTCGGAGCATGATAGTTAAATCCTGGAGCCCTGCGCCATTGCATGAAGCGATAAATGTGAGGGGCTGAGTTGCAGAGAACTCCAACGCTTGCGTGCGCAATCGATCATTACCAGGACTGGGAACGATCAACTGCCAGAAATAGGGGGTTCCTTGTATGATGGCCTTCCAACGCTTGCAGACTACGAGTTCTTGTAACATGTACGGATGGCGCCGATCGACGAGGGCCGCACAATATGCCCAGTAGACGAATTTAAATACACGCGTTAAAAGCTCTGCCGGCAGCATGTCGACATAGCAATGACCAGATGACTGCAAAGAGACCTCCAGATCTGAAGTATGCGGCGAGGATGCCATGTTTACTATGACAATAAGAACGATTGAGAGATGGAGGAAGACGACAAGCACAGCGCGAATCCAGCCGGAAAGAAAATGCCGAGCGCAAGCCCGAACGGGAAGATATTCTCACGCGCAGAATTGGCTGTAACCATTCTTGGCATATACGACCACCACCGCGTGAGACTCGGTCCCTTTCGGAATCTAGATTCAGATAATCGCTCCGCCGTTGCGGGAACCCAAGAAGAAATATTCCTTCTCTATGGTCAGTTCACCCACAGCCTCTCTAGCCTGACGCACCAACCGACAACGCACCATAGACAGAACCGTACAAACACAAGACTGGCAACACGACTGGCAACATATGGATGAACCGGATGTACCGAAACGACGAAGCGACGCCTGCGTGCCCTCCAAGGGCAAGCACTTCGTGCTTCGAGTTGGAAGACAGTTACTCGTCACGACGACCGGAAGGGCTTTCTGTGGCATGTACGAACTGCCACCGGAAGAAGAAGGGGAAATGCATAAGGGATCCAAAGGGTTCAGACTCGTGTGTGTGAGTGAACCAGACGAGGTCATTCTCAAACGACTCTTACTGAAGCGGGCCTCCTTTGACAGCGCATGTTTGAATCGCCGGGACGGAAGGCCTTGCGAATGGCCACAGATCACGAAACAAGGCAGGCGAAACGACATACTCCGAACGCTCAATACCGACATCTCATGCAAGGTCTACGAGCACGATGCCGTCGAAGGCAACCTGCAGTCCACAACGAGCAACATGTCGAACAGCGCACAAACCCCTCGCACGAACGGAGAAGCTCGCGCGTCCTTGGAGGGACCTGCACCAACAAGGGGCAAGAAGTTATTATTCGCTTCGTAGATAGTGTAGATGGTATGGGTGCATTGACCCGAGGCGCGTCTTGAACATGTGCAGTGCCATGACAGCTAATAATGGTACGGCAGCTGCCGAATGCGACCCATCAATTCTTCCGTAGTACGGCCAGACCATCTATCGCCATTCCGTACGTCGACGAGCATCCGCACGTTGGGGAAGAGAGCCTTGAAACTGTAAGCGACGGCAGACCATCCCACCGGGTTAGGCGCGCAAAGTTGCCATACAGACGATTTCACTGTATGTGCAGAGTCCGGCCAGAAGCAAAGCCGCTCTGCGCTGTCAAGCAACGGCCTAACGTCGCACGCTGAGAGCTGTTTGAGATGGATATCTCCATGGAACTGCGCGACGTCCGAGTGAGGACGCATGACCTCAGCATAATGCGGTGTCACGACATACCTCATACGTCTTGATACAGTCAACAGCAACCCCCGCATTCTTGATAGCGCGAAGCACATCAGTCCACCCAACCTAAATGAGGAAAGTGAGCAGACATCATATAGTATGCAACCCAACCACTAACGGGTTGCAAATGGGGCTTGGCAAAACAAACCTCCAGATCAACGGCGCCTGGATGTGGCAGATAACGACCTTGTCGATGCACAGGTAACAACGAACCAGACAAGCCTTCCCATACACGGGGACCTTGGCTGAATAGGAGTGAGGTACGACGAACTGAGTCCACAACGGTGAGCGTATCGAACGTCCGCGATCGCATTTGAGAAACTGAAGAACCAACGTCAGCACCGCCCCATGTATTCACGAACGAAAGCCGAACCTACCGATGATGTCTGCCAACTGCACTATGTCAACGGATTCCCGAGCGCCCTCTCCGACAGTAATAGACACATATGCATCCGAAGGCAACGGAGTAAGGCACGACAGGAGCCACGCCGCCGGTGGTAGATGCGAGATGGACAATTTGAACTCCTTCAAGGCAGGCAATGGAATGAGTCCAGATGGACCGCCTCCGGAATACTCTGGGCCAACAGGCTCTATGAGCTCGACAGACTCCAGGGTCGGATTATGCCTGAGGATAGAATGAAGATTCTTCGCGCGTTGTGTCCTCTCGTCCGACGATACAGTGTCGGTCTCGTTACGATGCTCGATCTTCAAGCGTCTAAGATTGAAGGTCTCCGGGAAGTTGAGCACTATCTGTTGAAGCTCGAGACGCTTCAAGAGCGGCGCCCTCAGAGAGAGAACACCGTCTCCCTCGTGGTGCGACAACATGAGCTGTCGAGCTGAAACAAAGTTGCCTACAGCTTCGAGAACCAGCTCCTGCAGGGCCTCACAGCGAGGTTGGCGCACGAGCGCAGCGACTACATCTGACACAGACAACGAGTGCTGGACGACGATAGTCTGCGCGAAGACAACACCGCTAAGAAGACATGGTAACGGAGGTACTCTCCGCTTCTTGTTCGTGTAGTCGAGGACAAGATGGAATGGTCGACCAAGGGAATGCGCGCGATTGAAGTAGGCAGAGAATGCCGGCGGGTGGACCGGAAGCGACGCCAGATCGGTTTGAAAGGATGTGTTGAGGACGACAAGGCAGCGGAACAAGCGGCAGACGGATTGCACGGTTGATCTACTTTGCAGAGAAGAACCAGCGACGAAAAGCAAGATGATGTCAAGGATTTCGTTAGGAAGCGTCTCCAGAGTTGGCGTCTTCGTTGTCGATGGAGCAGAACGAGACATAACGCCATGGTGCAAGACCGTACTGGTAAGAGCAACCATCTCTTTCACAGTGCTCTCTCTGAAAAACACAACAGGCAACGCGCGACATCAGCGCGCCGAATCTGCAGAGCGAACCAGCACTTACCTCTGTATCCAGGTTCTCATGTTCGGCGAAGTCATGCGGCGCAACACGGAAGACAGATCATCGCTGTGCCACGCCCAAGCTACAAAGAACAAGATAAGAAATATGCACGTTGAGCGAAATAACGTGAACTGCGTACGTGCCGGACCCCTCATCGCTACGGGTTAGAAGATCGGAAAGTATTCCGGAATCGCTTAAGCAGAACTCGCAGCTATATGAGATGTATGGCCTTCCGCGCCGCCAACCGCCACGCCGGCGAGCAAGTCATCACACGAAATCGTGCGCGCATAAATCGCCTCCGTTACCAGCCGCGTAGATCAAGGAACGCACGTACGCTTGACCCCGGAAGCATTGCCCTTACCCATCTCTTGCACGAAACACTTGCAACGGATGCACAAGCCTCGAACCGAAAAAGTTACCTTCCACCAGGTCAGTCGGCCGATGTGAAACCAAAAAGAGATGTGCGCAGGCTTGATTCCATGGCCTCTGATCAGAATGGACGCGGAAGCAGTCCTCCCCATAGATTGGTGGGCGCTCGATGTCTACGACAACTGAACATGTAGACAAATATCGCACTCGGCTGTCAGCTCTAGCTCCGCGATGCCGCGCGAGAATCACAAAACCTACACAAGATCTTGCGGTCTCCGTGAATCCCCTGCAGAATCGCGGTCACCGGGCCCCTTGGATCCAGGTAAGAGCGATATTACGCAAATGACGGGGACTTCGTATCGGTGACGGAGACCTTGAGAAGGTCCATGGGTCCTGTTACCTATTTTATGTCAACATCACCCGGCGGACGCCACACCCGCGAGAAGACATTCGCACCGGTTAAGGTTGGACATCTCCTGTCCCAAGTATCCTCCTATCCCCAGTACTAATATTTCCTGCCCGCGCCACCCGCTACCTGCTTTCGCAAAGGATATGACACCTTCGGGCCATGAGGAACAAGACAGACACAACAACACAACCAGGCGCATCGAAGTGAACGGAAGAAGCCGAGATGCCCACACGTGGCAGGTTGAAATCGCGGGGACCTCGCGTCGCGACCCTGCCGTGCCTCCAACGGCGACCACCACCAACCGGATCTATTGCCTATACAGCGCTTCACAATAGAATCATCATTACCACCCCGTTTCTCCATTCTGTCGAAGGACGCGAAGATCGGTACTGCGAATCAAATAACACTGTGTAAGGTATACGGCTCCAAGAACTTGGATATCCCCAGACAACGACAGCATGGCAGACTTTGAATGCCTAGGCGTCCGAACATTGGCTAACATGATCACCCTGCAGAACTTGATACCGCGTGTAAGCCCGGTGACCGCCCTCATCGCACGTTCTGGCGATCGCCCTGCTCTGTACGTCCTGCAATTGGACTTCTCGAGCGCCACCTCCAAGGTCGTCTGAGTCCCGCTGATATCTCTCTCCACAGTCTATTGCATGGCTCTGTGTCTGTCAGACAGCACGAGAACAGACCAACGTGGTCAGGGAGAACTCCAGGAAGTAAACAACGCACGTTCTTCCTCGGTCCCGTCGCAACGCCGCTATCAAATTCTTGGGCGCTCGGCACAAGCGGAAGTCGCCGGTCGCGAACCCATCCATAGACCCTAGCCAACACTACATCATCCGCGAAGGCGTCTCTGACTCTCGGGAGATGTCAAACCCAATTTGGCTGGGCCATCGCTCCTGCAGAAGTACCTGATGGACCTCGTCTTGAATGTCCGTTTGTTGCGATGATGATACGCTGGGTACGGCCAGTATAGCTCACGCGTCCATTCCGCTGTCTACTTAAAACAGTATCACAGGAAATCACCATCGCCACGTTTTTTTCGCCCACCATGGCAGACCCCGACGATTACTTTGTGAACGCGTTCTACGACACTACAACTTTCAACATGGACGCCGACATACTCGGCTACGACCACAACGTACCGATGCTACTCGACTATATGCCCTTGCCCACGCTCGAGCCCCAAGCCCCGATGGCGTCTCTACCCGATACCCCGAACATCCGGCCAATCGAACTCAATGATACGCCCCCGCCTCTACAACTTGACGTTACAGCAGCAGCACCCATGGGAGTCGACCTCGTCGAACTTGGCAGCACGCTCCCGCCCTCACAAATGAACGTCGAACCGGTAGCACCCGCAACAATGAACCCGGCACCGACAGCAGGCGCCTTGTTCAGCGTCATACTGGACTCGGAAGTCCTCAATATCATCGACATAAAGTGTGTCATGCCCTCGTCGCTTAATAGCGTACATACTCATATCCCACAGCCAGGACATTATGGTCAAGCTCGCGCTCGCTGTCCCTCACGCTGAAGAGTTGAGACGAATAGCCGCCCATCAGTCGTCGCCCAACCCGGAGAACCTACAACGCCTCCTAACCAGTTCACTCTTACTGGTCAACGCATACGCGACTGCGGCTTCGCTCCTAAGCCTACTCGTCAACCGCGCTAATCGAATGTACGCCTCTTGCATGTTGGCCGAGATTATCCTCGACTCATCAACACTCTAGCGCCCATATTCTCCGCTTACCAGAAGACGTACTGCTGGAGATTCTCTACATAATGGCCTATACCGCTCCACCAGCTGTCATGGGCTGGGACGGCACGAACTTGGGCTGGCTGACACTATATTGGACGTGTACGGATATCCGCGCGTTCATGAAGCGCCAAAGCAAGTTCTGGGCGCTGGTCTGTACCCAATTACCGCGCGCACATCTATCTCTACGCGAACTCGCCCATTTCGCGCCCCTTACCCTTAACTTCTGCACACTCTTCCCGGCGACGCCTCCGGCGTTTGACTTCGCAGTATCGCACGATCGAGACCGCGCGCTCTCCATTCTATACACCACGCCAGCGTTCAGGTTCCAGTCCATATCCTGCCTCGATCTCCGCGTCTGTCCCAGTCTCATCTTGCACTGGCTCGCAACTACCGGTTCAACATTGCGACCCCACGGCCTACCCTACCTTCGCCACCTGGAACTAGAGGCGCCCAGACGCTTCGACTACAGCTTTGCGCCAGAAACCATGTTCGTCAACTTCCTTATACTAGCTAGTATGCTTATTGACTGCTCTCGCAGCGACAGATTCATCAAACGCCCGTTCAGCAACTTCTGGCTCTTCACTCCGGCACTTCGCACAGCCAAGTTCATCAACCTCGTTTACCCCTTCTATACCGCCATGCTAGACGCTCTCCACCTCGAGTTCGACAAAGGTCTCCCCACGCCGGAGTGTCCCCGACCTACTCTCTCAAACATCGCAGATCTGGTCAGACTCTCGCAAGGTGTCATCCGAGAGCTCGTCCTCTTCAACGCTATCAGTGAAGAAGACGACGGCCGCGTGGTCAACGTACTCGCCTTTTCCCAACTGTCCCATCTCTTGCTCGTCCAGGACAACAGCGCACTCATACACCTCGCACTATCCCGATTCATGATCCCAGCGTCCTGCAACATCCGTATCGAAACCAAATACGAGCTATCTTGGAGCGCCATGCCCCAGATGCGTGACTTGTTCTACACGCTGCGTAAGCATCTACTTTCTGAGCCACCCGAATCAGTTGCTCATATAGCTATAGTCTCAAGGTTGCCACATTCTGGAGAGAGATTGCTACGTGTCCGCTTTTTAGGTGTGCAAGGGACAAGCGCCCGGACGGAAATATCCTGGCTCTTGGATAAGGACGGAGAACCTATCCGGTATGGCCCGCACAGCGTGACAGTGGTCATAGAGACACCCACTCACGTCTCCTGGATCACCTGCCTGCGCATTTTTGCCGAGACGCTCGTCAACCTCCATCACCCGCTCCTCAAATCCCTGGTTTTACCCGTCTCCTACAGGGCTTGGGAACTACACGCGTTCCATGCAGTCGACGCGGAGATTGTACGGACGCTGTTCAGTATCGGCACTGTGCAGTACATATGGCCGCCAACAAGGGTTACCTGGGCCTTGGGATCAGATGCGGAATGGGACATACCGGAAACCCACCCTTCACTCTCGGACGGGTCGTTTAACCAATACTCACAGAACATGCGATTCGTTCAACCCTTTGACATGCAACGCTTCCATTAGACCACAATGTACCTTGCTCGCACGAATAGAATATATAAATTGACACGGTTCAGCTGCTTGCCCATCGTCTACACATATGCCGTGACCTCTCTGCACTTGCACCAGTATATATGCGCGCCCGCGCCCGCGTCAGAACACGCGATGGCCTCACCAATGCGATATCTCCGCCTCCATCACTAACCCCCGTCCTATCGCGCATATCCGTACCCATACCCATGCATACGCCCATTTATTCGACATATAACTCCAGTTCCACCTCAAACACATCCATTCTTGCCTATTCCTCGTGATAGGTCGCCGCGAAGTCACCGCCGCCGCCGCCGCCGACATGTTCGCTGCCGACCTCAAGCACGACCTCAAGCTCAACCTCTACGTCTTCCTCCTCGTCACAACCCTCACGCTGGCTTCCGACCATATCATGAGACTCGTTCTCTTCTTCATCATCAACCTCGATGACCTGCGTAAGATCAGACCAACCCGCATTGAAGATTCCAACCCCTACTCACAAATTTCTCGGGCATATCGGGTATCATAGGAGCAGGCAAGTCCTAAGAGGCAATGGATCAGTCAAGTGTCCTTCAATCGAACCAAGAAAACCCAATACCCGAGGACGCAAAACAGGCACAACGCGCAAAACCGCACGAGTCAGACCACGCGCAGCGACCAACAAAAAATCGCGTACACCCCATTGAATATCGAGTTGGTTGGAGAGCACGAACATCATGTCGGACATCCAGTAACGATACCACGTATATGCAGTATGGTAGTTCGGCGCGACGAACATCAAACCGAACGGGACGTTGGCGGCGTTCGATGCGAGCTCCCTATGTCGAGATAGCATGAGGAGAAGCACCACGGGAAAAAACGTTTACGCACCTATCTTCGGTTATACCAACTTGGTCACCATACACCACGAGATAGTGCTTCCCGCGATGAACAGCGAGCGCACTGAATTCTAACGCCTCGACCGTAGGAGGGACGTTCAGGTCGGTCGCGCCTTCTAGCTCATGTACAGTATAGGAGGCCAGATATGTTGTGAAGAGTACACCTATAGATAGTCGCCAATTAGCAGGACTCAGCCAGCACGATAGGCCATGCTCACGATCTATCATATGAGTCGGCATGACGCCTGGATCTTTGAGAGCAATGCGCCATATAGCGAGGTGCACGACCTTTAAACGACCGCGACAAACTCAGGGCAAGTTTAGAACGCAACTGCGCGGACAATTATACCGGCGAATCAAACAGATCGAAGGCGAACGCATCGAATACCTTGCCCGGTAATCGGGCGGGTAGAACCTGAAACGTGTGAACAATCACGCAGTATTGTCCCATACAAGATAAACACGGGAAGTTCCACCACCTCATACATAGTCACAGTGCATGCACAATTCACGCTACATGTTCATTGATCGACACGGTAGATAAATATGAATAAGGTGTGTTGGGTCCTATAGCGCTCGAGGTGACCACTGTCTAGTACGACTTTGCGTGAGTACATGCGAACAATTAGCCAGAAGAACATGTACACATACATATACGCCAAGCTAGGAGGCTACAGAAGCTCTATAGCACGACATGTCGAGGTACCCCAAAATGTAGGAAACTCGAAGTAGACCCCCAATCTGTAGCACGATGAGTATGCGTCTTCTCTACGAGGAGAACTAACGCACCTGCAACTAGGACTGCATCGACCCTCGCTAGAGTTTAGAAACAGCACACCATCATGGGATACCCTGAACGGTTGAAGTGCGTGAAGGAGACACTAGCGCGAAGAACGTTAGCTCCGACTACGGCAACCAGTAAACGTGATTCGGCACCTTCAATCAACGCCGTTCATCCCCAGCATCACCTCAAGATAAGTCCGATATGCCCCACTCCGAAGCCCAGGGCACCTCCGTAGATAGGCGAGAAACGATATGTGCCCGGTCGGGCTGTACAAAAGATAGCGCTTGACCAATAGCCCAGGCCTGGATCAACGGATTCAGCGAACTGACAGGATATAGAGGAGAAAACAACTTGCAAATGAAACCATAGGATAGAATACAACGGGAAGCTCGGGAAAACGAAACCGACAGGAGGAGAAGGTGGTGGACGACAAGAAACACGAGGGTACACGGGAAGCAACATGTCCACGCGATCGCTTCCCACGCTGCGCCGGCGCGGCACCCGCTCTAAAGTTCATCGACATCTTCGTCCAGAACCATGTAGTCTTCTTCGTAGTCTGACCACACCTCCGACTCCGTGTCATCGGAATTCGTGCTCTCGCCGTCAGGATCCCGGTGACCTGCATCAAAGAGCAAAGTCTCTGTCTCAGAATCGACTAGCGTTTCGTCATCCTCGAAACCATCGTCCATCCCGACAGCACCTCGTTCAGAATCAACCTCCATCGCGAAATCGTCCTCGTATTCCACCTCATCATTAATAGGCTCGTTCCTATCTTCCCAATAGGTCTTGTTCGCCAGCTCGGAAATACGGCCCAGTTCATCTCGGATGTACTTTGAAAGCGGCTTGGTAAAGCACTCTGAGGAAAATGGTCTAAGGACGGCCAATCCCTCCAGCGTCTTAACCCTGGACAGCATAACATATCGACCTTGCGGCTTGGTAGTACTCGCGAGATCCACAATGACTGAATCGAGAGATCTTCCCTGAGCCTTATAGTCCGTATAGACATAGGCCGGCATCAGGGGCAACTGCTCGCGAGTGAAACTGACCCAGCACTCGGCATAATCGGACCAGAACTTGTGGGTGGTGCGCGATGGGAAGACGGGTATGATGTCTTCAGGCAGCTCTGGGTAGACGGAGCCCATTCCTTGCACCTCAATGAAGGCACAGGTGGCGTGGAGCATGCCGTCGACACCCTGTTCGACTGCTACCTTGCGCAGGATCCCTTCTTGACCATTCACAGCCTTATGACACATAGCCAGATTCTCGGTGATCATCACCTTCATACCGGGGAAGTACGGTATGCACCCCATGATGTCGACCCTTCCAGGCGGTAAACGGATGGCAGCCTTCGCCAATGGACCTGAAAGAGGTTCCTTCGACCCAGACATCTTGTCACGAGCACACAGGAAGACCGGCTTTATCCCAAGACGAATCGCCTTTGTGTGCACCAAGCGCGCATTCAAAGCATCGCGAGTGACACGGTCACCTACTATGATAGGCGCGTCTTGAAACCTATCGAGAGACTGGCTCTTGCTGACTCGAATGGAATCCAGCGTCCGTTGACAAACCGTGTCATAATCGGATCCCTTCATGACACCCCCAGGCCCACAGATTGTAGCACAGCCCAATCGAATCCGTCCCAACATCTCGCCGTACTCAGGATCGGCTTCCTGCCGAACCACCTGCTTCAACTCGACAACCTTGTCAAACAAACGCCACAGGTAAGCGCCATGCAAAGCAAACTGTTTCCGATCAGTCATGCCAGCAGTCTCATCCAGACGATTGACTAGACTCGTATGAAACAACGCCCTCCCGCCAACAGGTTCCAGCTGGCCAAAGTCCCCAGTCACGATAACATTGACGCCTCCAAAGGGTCGGTCACCGTCAGGAAGAGAGCTTCGCGCTTCCTTCAGCCGCTTCGAAATATAAGTGAGTTGTGTAGCGGAAATCATTGAAACTTCATCAATGATAAGATATCGGACACGTCTCCAGATCTCTTCCACGGCCTTCTTTCTTTCAGGCGATAGTTCCGCATAATAATCGTCCTTTCCCCTTCCACCGACATTCAGGAACGTCAACGCATGAATGGTGTACCCGTTCACCAGGACGGCTGCGATTCCTGTAGGTGCAGCGATCAACAGCCAATCGCTGTGATCATGCATCTTGAGATAAGTCGTGATTCCCCGTATGACGTGACTCTTGCCCGTGCCTCCAACGCCTGCGACATACATGAGAAGTTGCTCGCGTCTATATATGCCGCGTTCATGATGATCGTCAAACAGTTTCATAACCAGTTTCTGCTCGGGATTCTTCTTCATCTTCAACATCTTGATGATGCGTCTGAGAGAGCTTCTAGGCACGCCACTATCCGATTCAGCCTCGGTATCGCTATCAGAGCTATCACCGATGACGTTGTCCGAACCGTCGCTCATGTCCACATCCACGAGTGGCTCGTGCTTCTCCTGCAGCTGCCCAACAGCAACCTTGGAGACCTGATCCAATCTCGGGCGCTTGACAGAAACTTTAGCACTACTGGGCGCCGCGACAACAGGACGCCGCAACTTGCGCAGTTTCTCCATGAACCCACGCATTCTACTCAACTCTGGCACTCGGAACGAACTCTGCAATGCCATAGCGTCTCCTCCACGACCGGAGATCAAGTGCTCTTGTATGGCCGTATCAGATAGTAGGATCCCTGAACGCTGCAAGATCGTGGCAGATTGAACAGAAGATCCAGGTAGCGCTCCAAGATATGGCACCTGAGAAGACTGGCTGACTTCATCATCCTCACAGGAAAGATCGTCTTCGGGAAACACCAAGCCAGAAACGTCGCCCGCCTCGTGCATGATGGCGAGCTCGAACAACGCGGGGTCCATCTTGCTCAAGACGATGTCGGACGAAAGTGCGCCTGTCATCAACTGGCCTTCCAACCCAGCACGGCGGGCTTCACTGTAACGATCTCGGGCATCCTTACATTCGTGCTCGACATGTATATGTCTGATAGTGCGTAACAAGTGATCTGGGAACTTATGAGCGTCATATGCTGCTGCCCAGTTCGGGAAATCGCCGAGCAGATCGCTCCGTTCTCTCCAGGGTTTAAACAAGATCAACATGGCACGACAAAAACGCTCGCGTGCGTCATCACCCGAAGACTGCCTCGGAATCTTCGGACCACTCAGAATCGGAACGTGCATGTTGCCACGGAGATGCACCGTATGCGTCTCTGCTTGCGGGTGTGGATCTAAGAATCTCAATTTCGCTCGTCGCGAATGATTCGAACCCTCGTCGGCAAAGTCATCAACCTCTTGGTACATGACAGATGAGTAGTCCTTTGCAGGAGGACAGTCCGTCTTCAACTTGATCCGGCTCTTCTCGACAAGCCCCGCAAACTCCCAAGCGCATATATCGTCGAAACCATGGCTATTCGGACGATGTCGGTAATCCAATAACTGACTTGTAGGCACCACATCATTGTCGCGCATGTTCACAGTCACATCAACCCCTCCCGCGTAGTCATCAACATCTTCAGCCTCGGAATCGAGGACTGGACCAGAATGGAACTTGCTCATGTCCCCCCAGTACAACGACGCAAACTGATGACTGGCATAGAAGTCGCCGCCGCCGACAAGATAACTCATAACCTGCTGATGCGAAAGCTCCACCCGACCCATCATGGCGTTGACACATTTGATCAAGAATCTACGTCTCTGCACGCTCGCGGCAATGGGGTCTTCGTCTGACGCAGCATCGACCTGCATGGCAGCTTCCGTCTTCTTGATTGCAGATATCACAGCCGCGAGACCAACATGCATAGGTAGCGTACCCTTGGTGATGTAGTCGGTGATGTAGTACACCAGCGCCTTTGCAGCCTGCCCAGACCCGATATATTTGACATCCATGTTGCTCTGCAAAAGAAACAGCACCACATCATTGAAGTTATTGATCCATGGGTGCAACCGCCTGAGCAGTATCGAACCTGTCTCTTCATCTATCTCCGTGAGTGGCTGAGTGCTGCCATCAATACGCATCCTGCAATTTGAATCCACTTGAGGCTGCCCAGGCTTAAGGTATTTCCAGCAGGTAGCGTGGTGACGATGCCAGTTGAACGCACAAGCAAGATCGTGAACAAAGCTCTGGAATCTCTCCTCGAACAGCTCTCGCTCTTCCGGGGACATCGTCTCGGGATCGGGTATCAGGGGAGGGACGCTCAAAGCAGGCCTTCCATCAACATACTTCATTGGATTCACCAGTTTCTCGCCGACTTTCGTGCGGAGAACTTCTGTCATGCCAGGTAACTCGCATTGAATAATGCACTCAAGCCAACCGAACATCCTATCACGAAACTCCGGATTGGACTGAATCTTATCGCGCACATCTTGTGGAGAGAGCCCGCCTTTACACCAGAGAAGCATATGGCAATGCAAAGAACCACGACCTTGCGCCTCGACGGTTCCAAAATACGCCTCCGAGGTTCCAAAGAGCCCAGGGCTATCTGATCCGTGGCGAAGTATGATTTTGATGAAGGACTTAATAATGCGATCAAACCAGATAGCAGTCTCGGCAGGATGATCTACCACTTGCTTCGTGCGCTGGTAATCAGTCATCTGGCCGAATTGGTTCGGATCCCCTCCACACAACACATGCAGCTGAAGCGACAACACATCTGTAGGATTCAGAGTCACGAACAGCGTCGGACACCCAAAGGACTTCAACATGGCCCGAACCTTAGATCGCATCCTCGTTCTGGACGCATTCGATCCGACGACGTCTTTGCACATAACCCGAAGCTGATTCATGGCATTTATAAGCTTCCGCTCGCCAGACGTCGTAGGCTTAGCGTCTGGATTGGAGCGATACTTGGATTCTAACGCTTCGAGCATGCCTCTGTTCTCCATCAGCGTGTCCACGAAGGAGCCGTACTGATTCTCAGCCACCCTGAAAGTAGCTCCGATGGACGTTTGAGTGCGTTGTATGGCATTGAAGAACACATACGCAAAACTCGGATCAGCTGCGAAAGGAGCGTCTTTCATGAGAAGCATATTCTTCAGCTGTCGTTGCATTGACAGATGACGAGGGCCTGTGCGATCCGGATGAAGGAAACCGCCGAGTGCATGCGGATCCAGATGCGGGTGAGTCAATGTAAGAGCGTCCGTATGACGATCCGAGAACAATCGGTTGCCATCAGTTACTTGGACAAAGGGCCGCTTATTCAAGACCCAGTCCAAGGCCAGGGCCTTTGACGCAGTAGCAGCTTTGGAACTCTGAGACTCGCTGGCATATCCTACATTCTGGATCAGCGTCTCCCCCGTAGGCACAATGAGCTCAGAGTGATCCGTATTAGAATACCCTCCCTGCATAGCGCGATGAACACCAGTAGCAGACTCAGAATTGAGAACGACCACCTGAACGTTCGAAGGCAACCCGCGATCTTCTCCGCCGGGAAAACCAGATCCGATGGCACGAAGGTTATCCGCATTGAAAGCGATGCCAGAGTCCACGAAAGCACGGTTGGAACTTGTCAAGAACTTGGAGATGACTCCCACGGTAGACAGCGAACACAACAGAGGTTGTAGGCGGGTCGCGATGTTCTCCTTCGTAGGCGGAACTCCTTGCCCAACGAACACAACACATATACCAAGACTCGGGTCATCGGGAGGTGGCGGCAGCATGCGGGCCATAGCACCCGAATCCTGAGGTATAAAGGCGCAATGCCCTCGATTAGCACGCTGGCGAGGCAAAACGCCTTTCGTATCCTCCGGATTCTCAATCAGGAATGTGATGCGCGTCATGCGACAGCCGGCGATGTACATCTTCTCTGCCAGCGTGGCAACGGCGAAAGCCTTCTTCACATCCGGAGGAAGTCTGTCATGCGCATAATAAAGCTTGTTTGCCAGAGCATCCTTTGGCATCTTCCGTCGCTTCAAAGAGGAAGAACAACTCTTACACATGCGCACCAATCCCCTGGCGTGCTGGACGATCAGCCCGTCGGGATGCAACAACGCATGGCGATAACAATCCATATCATACTCAACAGGCTTGAGATGATCTGGGAGGGTATGATCTTGTAATAGCTCCAACTCCTCGTCGAGAGCCTCACGGACGAGACTATTCTCCCGAAAATGCATCTGAGCACACACTGCACACGTCACCCGCATCCATCGGACAGGCTCTAAGAATGACTGCCACTCGTAGATAATAGAGTTTCTGAGTTCCGTCGTATACTGTTCAGGGAACAAATCCGGAGGCACGTCAGGATCTTGAAGGAACGGTATCGGCAAATCGTCAACGTATCCTGACGAGACCGGAACAGCAACCTGACGCGCACGCTTACGGGAAGCAGGCGTTCTGCGAGAAGCGCGGGATGATGCGACACCACCCTTGACTGATAAGCGGATGCGTTTCTTCATGCGACGTTGTGTGGCCAACTCTGCGAAGATGTAGTATTCAGCAGGGCACTGACATTGAGACAGGTGAGTCCGTAATCGAACAAGGGCCTCGGCATTGGTCAGTCCGCTCATCCGGAGGGCATGACGCTGGAAGAGAGAAGAAATGTGCGGCCTTAGGAACATATTGAAACCCTCGCAAAGAAGAAGCAAAGACGCGGAACTAATCAGGAGAACGGGAGACTTGACAGGGAACTCCAATCCATCCACAAAAGGCGCAACCTCCTTCAAATGCCTGACAGCCCCCACAAATCTGAACCAGCGATTCAACATATCCAGAGACACGATACGGGACTGGCCAGCAGCAACAGCGAGAGACCAATCTCTGACCACATCATGAACATCGTCTGATATGAGAAGATAAGCAACAACGAAGACGGAAGGCGTCACAACCAAGGCAAAGCAAGAGCATATCATTGAAGAACACAATACGCCAGGACACGTCGTAACCGCATCCAAAAAGCCAAGAGGGAAAGACACCCGTACACAATCCACCGATACGAAGAGAGAGATAACAAGTAGAACATAGAACCAAGAATCAGCAAACAACCGCGAACAACTGAACATCGAAGACGTACCACGATGGTCCAAAGACGGCAACGCCTCTGCTGGATTGACCGTATCAACAACCGGTACGAAAGGAATAGGTTGAAAAGGCAGGGATACAAGAGCAGTGGCTGGTGGAGCGCCAATACTCTTCCTCGCAGAAGCCACAAGAGGATGCTCTGACAGTAAAGCGTCAACACCCATGCCGACTTTCAACGATACACAACGCACCGTCGGCTCCCAGACCCATAAAGAACTCATCATAAGTAGCGGGCCTAACAGAAGAGCCCGTTGGCACATCCATGGGCGACTCCGTACGAGGCTCTGCAGCGGGAACACAGTCCGCTTGCACAGACGATAACGCGCCCGCAGCGATAGCTGCCAGCGCTCGCAACTGCTCGCGTAAGCTCTCATACGCAGCCTGGACAGCAGGATGACCTAGGTCAACGAGTCAGTAACCATCCAACTGGGAAGACAGAGAGCCAGATATGAAGCCTCACGTGTGCCATCGACCCGCGCAGAGAACTCTTCATAACTTGTAGGTATAGACAGCGATGAACCAGAAGCAAGCGCTACAAACACCATCAGACTGGATACCGAGGGATGATACAGAATCGCGTACACTGAGCCGAGACTAGATGTCCTGGTACAGGTGCCACTGCACTAAGACCGTATGTGAGGGTGGACGCTGTCGAGACAATATCTGCAAAAACGCGTGAGGCCTCGTCAAATAATTGAGGAAAAAACGCTACCATTGGAAGCATCCACAATGCGAACCTTCCGCGGTTCAGAAGATTGCGGCGCGGTACGCTTCATGCGAAATCCAGAACAATATCGAAGAGTCCAAGCAGGTAGAGGTAGCCGAACAGACAACAAGAAAGAAAGAAAGGGTAGGAGACGAAACGAAGTGACGGTTAAGAGCAAGCCATCGCGCGCGCCCGACGCGACCGACACGACGCGCCAGTTCCAGGTACTCGAATCCTGATGGGCGCAACACTACGTACAGCTACCGCCGCGACGGCAATGCCGATACATGTCGTATCTCAACCTACCGTTCCCGTTCAATGGCTGACACGCCATCATGACTTCGACGCACCAGGCACTGGTCGCGCGGGCCAGCCCGACGCATGTGCGCAATGTCACTGTCCGCACGCATGTATACACGTTCTACCAGCCTCGTGCAACAGCACATCATACGCTCACATAGACAAGACCCGACCCGACTCACAATAGCCCTCTTCCAAAGCACGCATTCTCAACGTCGCCCATACCTCGCATTAGGCAAACCATAGACGGTGCCGCTCGCACAAACACACACCCCGCATACACGCAAGATCCACGATCACACATGTTTTGGGCATCTTCGTCAAAACTATACGTATACATGTTGATGGAAACCAAGCTGACACAGGTACAAGAACGGCCGGCGCAACCAACACCCACGAGATAGCATCTTATGGCTACAAACATATGCGTCAGCCTCAGACTACGTTCACCCGAAAGTAACGAGCTTACCAGCTCCTGAAAGATGACAGGCATAGCGTCGCGAGTGCTCCTCGTCGGCGCATGTGGAAGAGCGGCGAAGAACACCGCGCGGGCATCCAGTGCGGTGTCGCCGAGATGAACATGGGCCAGAGTGAGGAGGAAGCGCCAATAGCAGACGTGAGCGCGCTGTAACGAGCTACAGCTTACGTGCTGCGCGCCCGGATGGAGAATAGCGCCCTCGAACTCGTCTCTGTATGCAAACATTAACGATCAGAGGCCTAACTAGACAATATAAAGATCACATACCTGTCCAGCGTCACACCGACGCTGGCACCGTTAAACAGGACATGATAACTGCCCCGGCCATTATCGCGCGCGGCCCACGCCTCCAGCTCGAGCCACTCTGGAGGCAAGTTGAATAGGTCGATGTGCGAGCGGAACGTCGACATCGTCCTAAGGCCTGCCAGACCTATGACATCGACAGCAGGTAGAAAATATTCCCGCAACCAACGCAAGAACCGCGTCTCTACACAAACGCAAGCATTGAGCCAAGTGAAACTTATGCGCGACGCGACACGTATACTCACTGGTGACCAGGAAATTTCCTGTATAGAGGATCACCGTGATTTCACGGCGTTCTCCGGGAGCCAGGAATGATAGATCTTGCTGCTGCTGCATGGTAGATGAGAACGGAGAAAAAAGATAAGGATGGGGAGAAGACGCAGTCCAGCCAGCGGAAAGAGAACACACTGGCAATATAAGCCCGCCGCTGACTACCCAGACACGCCTAAGAAGTGCAAGATTAATACCACCCCGCGACACGATCCGAATATGCGCCACGCCCTATTCTTTGCGCCCCAGATGACCAGACACATACGTACGACCGCTCTGATAGAAGACCGACATATAGAGCCCATTTGCAAAGTTGACGGAGACCTGAAAGAACTGTACTTGCCGGACCACGGTCCATAGACCTGAATACGCCACAACTCGCACGGCAAACTTGACCGCGAACAGAACCCCTGAAAGATCAACACTGCCGCAATAAACCCACATCATCTCCCGAAGATGGCCTGAGCGCCGTGCCCCACATTACCCAGAAGGAACCAGATGATATTCGCTAGAACATGAAGACTGGTACCAGCGTTACTAGGATTCAAGCGACGGCCATGACAGTGAAAAGCGAAAGACAAGCGGTGACTCGGAAGAGAACGCCGCCGCCACGCGCGGACCCTGAATGATTGGTACACGCCTGTCCCCGTGCAGGGACAACGTAGCCCCTATATCCTTACTCCCATTGCAGACTTGCTGATCCCCGGGAGCCGAGGATCGGCAGAACTACGGTCGGGCGATGTCGCCGCTTAGGAGGAAGGAGCAGTACGCTAGAAGCGCCTGCGCCCGAAGGATGCTCGGCCGAGGCGCAACAGCAACGGAACTCGTACTACGCACCTGCCGTAGCCCTTGCACTCACAGAGGCAATACTGCCGTGACCACAAGCTCGTCAAAGATACAGTAACCTTTCTTCTGGACAAACTATGTCTCCGGTCTTCAAAACAACGAACACACGCAACATGTGCCGATCGAGATGGCAGAAACGTGTTTCACCGTCAGGAGATGTCAACTCTGAAACGGTAAGGGCTGTGTGAAAGGCGCTAACCGTATATAGAAACGCACTTGCGCTCCCGTCGTCAGAAGCCTGGAGCGTCAACACGGACTCTTTACCAAGCTCGCGCCCAGTCCAATTCCTTCCCGATGTACCGCACCGCTTAGATATCCAACCTGAGCGCAAGAACATTCCATTGACAAACATCATATTCTAGACCGTACAACACCGAGCACGAGGCATACAAGAAGAAGACGTAGATAACGGAGGCTAGGCGCGAATAGCTGTCAAACGCAACATGAGCGCAACACCTGAAATACACTACAATACCACTCACGTAGACCATCCGACAGTTGATCAAGGAGAGCAAGTACGGCCGCAGTTTGACAAGGCATCTCGTCGGGATAGTGGGGTACAGTCTGGGGCAGACCCAAAGCCTGCCTCTCGACGCCCAACAAAAGCATGCCAAACGCATGGGCGTCGACACGACGCACTGGTAACAATGCCTGGTTGATAGCTTGCCACGAGCGCCAGCCATCCATGGCCGCTTCGCTGACCGACCGACTCCTGAGATTGAGCGACCACGCGAGCGCTGATTCTTGTTCATTGACGAACTCGGTGCTCCAAACTCGTACAACGTTCGACGGCGTCATCGAGATTATGGCACAGTACTCCTCCAGAGTCCTCGTAAGCGTTGCGCTCAGAGCCGCCAAGGCCTCCCTTGTTTTGGGGTCCCAAACTCTGGGTAGTCGCCACGCAATCGCAAGAAGCATCTTCGTCCCTTCATGCTCCAACGAGAGCCACAGCAAAAAATCTCCTGGATCCCGAACACGATCCGAAGGACGCAAACAGCCGGCGAGCATGGCCTGCACACATTTCAAGGATCAGCATACGGCCACGAGATACTACCGTCAGAAAGAACCGCACCTTCCCGCAACATGCTCGTTCGAGTTGCTCTGCGACGACACGACCGAATGCAAGAAGACTGGCGTCATCTAAACCAGTGTACCACATCAGACCGCCGGTATCTCCTATTCTCGATCTCGCGCGAGCGCTATGCAAGCGTCCATAGCTCGCGGCTTGAGCGAAAGCCCACGAACGCTCCGTCTTGATACCGTCGAGAGGGCCGAACGGGCACTCGAAGCTGAACAGGGGCCTGGGGAAACCGGCCGAAGATGCAAGCAAGACACGGGAGTCACGCTGGAAAGAGAGCGACATGATTGAAGCCTAACGAGTACCGCACAGTGATGGTAGATAGAAAAGCGCAAAAGTTGGGCGCTCGAGTTTATATACGAGTCCGCGGCCAAGTTCCCAGCGCACGAGGTGCGCGAACATCTGCAAAACGAGGCGCAATCCAGGCGGGCCGCAGCTATAACGAGCCAAACCTAGAATGCTATCGCCGCGATACCATACCAAATCAGCAAACGTCGCTACATTTGGTACCTGCTAGAGCTCTTACCTACCCTGTGTAACTCATACGCACACAACATCCTGCCTGACGAATACTTGCAACACCTGGCGGATATTCACAAAATAAATTGACGCTTCGCCATATCCAGGACGCATTTCAGTCATGTATCGGAAAATGCACACAACAGAGGAAGTGAACGTCAAGAGCAACAGACTAACAACCCGAACAACGCGGCCTTGGTCAATCAGTCGGCCCGATGAACAACACGGCCGAACGCTGCCGATAACGGCAATCACCGTGATCCACTCCGCACGTGGACGTTCTGGACAAAAAGCACGCTGCGCCGCACGGGGCGTGATGGGGCAAACTCGCGCGTCGACTCACGCATGCCCGCCACGTGCACGAGATGGGACAAATTCAGCCTCCATTCCGCGACCTTAAGCTGGTTCTCTTTCGAGCCCCAGAACTCCCCGCTTCCACAAGCATAGCTGTAAGCATGAGAAGAAATCAAAGACAGAAACTATAAGTGTTGAGTGCCCGTGAACGGAGGTCTAAGCAATATCTACCATTAATTTACTATCCTTCGGCGTGAGCTCGGGGATGGCGACTTCAGTGGTCAATGGGCTGACTTGGCGAAGCCTCAAATTGAGTTTTGTCTGTAAGCAGCCCCAAGGTTCTGCGCCCCAGGGGAGGCCAATTTTCTGCGCTGGTGCTACGCTATTTCTGATGCCTACCCCAGCACTAGGGCATAATAAATGACCCATCGGGTCTCTTGATCAGCCAAGTTCGCGCACTGGTGGATCGTGTGCACGCCGTATCTTGCACTCGAAAGTGTAATATTTGAGGAGATACGTCCGAGCGTATACCTGGAGACATTTTTTTCTAGAACTAATTCTGCTCAACGAGCTTTCATCTCTCTGGAGCTGTTACGTCGAGTACTGTCATCGTACTATCTGCCGGACAAACGCGCGAGTCTTGCCGACAAGCGACGGAGAGGGTGAGGCTTCTTTGCTAGTGCTCACTTGTAGTCATCTGACTCTTCAGATGACGCACAACATCTTGGATCGGGCACACAAGGAGAGGAAACCCCATTACTGAAATTTTTTCATCAATTGTATATAACACCAGCGCTTGTACCAGCATTTGTATTCACCTCTACCAGAGCACATTAGCCTCGCGACAGCAATGTACGGTCACGACACCCCTATCACAATCGGCGTGCTCCTCGTTACAAGCGGCGTTCAGATGGCTGACATTGCGCCTGTCGACATCCTCTGCACGGTCAGCACGAAATATATGGCCATCCCGGCGGCGCTCAAGGCGTTCGCGACGCCGATGTCTGTGGTCTACATCAGCGAGAACGGCGCAAGCCCGCTTTCCATTTCAGGAGATGCGGGTATTGTGGTCACCGTATGTCTTTCATGACTATCTCCTGTCCATGTGTTTATCGAGCACATGCATCAGCACTCGATCCAAAACGCTCCGAAGCTCGATATCCTGGTCGTCCCAGGCCCGCCTCCTCATTATCGTGCCACAGAGGCTGTCAAGTCCTTCGTCAAGTCCACGAACGATGCTGGCGGGCATATTCTCTCTGTCTGCACTGGCATACTCGCCGTCGCACCCTCAGGTGTCCTAGACGGCAAGGCCGGGATGGGCCCCGTCGGCTTGCTCCCCCTGATGCGTGAACTCTGCCCCAAGGTCAGGTGGGGTGGCGCGCGTCGCTGGGAGAGGAACGCGGCCTATGACACCAAAGGACAAGTTTGGTCATGCGGTAGCATCATCGACGGTATCGACGAGATTGGCGCCTTCGTTAGGGACCATTGGCCCGCAGAGATAGCCGAGCCCATGATGTACCTGTCGTCCGTGCCCGAGCGCCCCGCCGAGTACAGCGAGATGGAGAAGAAGTGGGGTGACAAGTGGGCCACTTTCCTCTAGGAGAGTTTCGTCGATGAGGATGCGCCGGGATCATGGTTTTGGGCTGAATCGTATGAGCGCCACGTTGCCAATCTGTATCTCTTAGAACGGCCGTTCGCCTCTCAAAGGCTCGCAAAGTCGATTTTCATACTATGTGTGCATATAAAACACGGCATGAAGTTGGGCGCGACATTAGTAGGGAGTCTAATTATGAACGAGCCCCAACGCTCTCGGCCATCTGCATGCGCGCTCGTAAAGGCGCCCAACGCTCCTCACCCGGGTCGCACTTGGAAAGCTTCTCATAGTCGTACCAAGTGATAACGCTTGTACTGTCGGCCACGATGGCATCCTGAGCGTATGAATAAGCTGTAGCGCGTAGGTAGAACTGCGTTTTGCTAAGCGGAGGACCAGGCCGAGTAGAATCTGCCGGTGCTTCTGGCCAAGGAAGAGCCTTGTGCCCAATGAGAAGCTATAAAGCGCGCATATAGTCAACGTATGGGTCGCATGACATTACTGTATGCACGGACCGTGTCTGGAAAGGTGACAGGGCGGCGGAACTTGACATCAATCGACTTAAGGATAAAGCCCACGCCTTTACCAGCCAAGAAGTTCTGAGCAGCCTCGGAGCCGCCTATGTCTTCGCCAAGAGCTACGATCCACTGCATTCTTCCCGACTCGAAGAAACGCACATAACGACAGTTATTCACGTGCTGAAAGGAATCATGGTCGCCCCACACGATCTGCTGAGCCCAGAATGACCGTGGTTCGTAGCCCATGCCTTCGAGCTTTAGACGAGCGTGGGTTGCAATATCTAGAGCAGGACCGTCCGGAGTTTCTGGGCCTGACGTCCCCGGCGGGATATGATATGGCGAGTGTGGGTCTTTGAATTTGGCGAGCAAGGACTGTAGCCAAGACAAGGTCGTTGAATTCTAGGCCCGCATCATGTAGATCCGAACGTTTGCATACCCTGACATCGCAGCGCCTTGTAGACACATGAAACGCGCGTACGTTCCGTAGGGATTTGCTTGCAGTTCTCAGCGCTGTGAACAGCATCATGGTGGTTCAGAAGCAACACGCCTCCACGTGAGATCTCCCGGCCGCGGGGTTCCGAGTACGCGCTACCCGGACAACGCGCGACGCGGCAGATGCGCGCGGCTGGCCCGGTTTGTCTCAACGGCCATGGCCATGTCGCAGATTGACAGTACGACTTCGCCTGCCTGCCAGGCTGAAACGGTTGACTTGAACATGCGTATAAAAACATTGAACCAAATTGACCGCCGTTTCTTCTTACCCTCGCCAGTCCCGGTGACTGTGTGTACTTTCATTCTTTCCCGCCTCCTCATTCATATCTCTATCCCCACATCGCTATCCGCGACCGGCTTCGCAAACGTTTAACCGTCTATACACTCTTTACTCTATCTCTATCTCTTGCCGCGCTAGCTCGCCGCCATGGTTGCTCTTTCGCCACGCTTTACCGCTCTCGCTGTTCTCTGTTCCGTTGCCGCTTTCACGCTTCCGCACGCCGATGCAGCGGTCATGGGCGTTCGCCCGGCTGTCGTCCGCGCTACCCACGACGACCCTGCCTATGCGACGCCGCCGGCCTACGGTGCGGGCTCGACGATGAGTAAGGTATGCCTTTCGCAGCGCCACACCACTGGAAGGCTCTTGGCTAACAGAAAGTACAGCGCTTCGGCGGCTCGCACGACTCCATGTTCGCCACGGAAGCAATCTGGAATGCCCGCTTCGCTCGTCGCCCTTTGTCAGGCATGGCAGGCATCCCGTTCGATGACCAGAAGAACGGCAACCTCCCTCGTCAAGGCTACCACGGCAAGGTCGCGCGCTCCGTCTACATCGAAGGCAAGGCGGGCGAGTCTTACGTCGTCAAGCCCGCCAGGCGCTCCCTGTCACAGCAGCACTTCAACGGCGCGGAATGGAGACGCCAAGACCATAGCATCGAGTGGAAGCGCCAGGAGGTCACCGGCGTTCCTGGTACCATCGACATCATGGTACGCTTCTTCCCTTTCTCCGGATTCTACCTTCGCTAACACCCATTCGCAGAGTCCCACGGCGGATCCGTCCAGCCCTCTGCAGCGCATTGCCTCCCTTGTGCTCGCTCAGGCCAATTCCACTGGCTCCACCAATGGCACGTTTGTGCTCAATGCGTCTCCGGACGACCAGACGCAGATGTTCCTCGTCCCGATGGCCAACACAACGATGGGTTTCCTTAACTCGACGCAGGACATCCCCGTCATGCTTCAAGTCCCTGTCTTCGACGCTGCCTCCGCCGCGACGCAAGCGTGGTGTGCGACCTTTGACCCCGCGCCTCTGGCGCCGGTCTCTATGACCGCGGAGAAATGCCTGGACCCGGGGGAGAACGGCATGAATGGCGACCACATGAGCCAGGTCTTCGCTTTCAACTCTGTCACCGGCGCTGTGCGCCCCTTGTGGGCCAACGGCACGAACAGCGATGCCGTCGACGACACGGACGGTGTACCCACTGCACAACAGGCCGCATACGTGGATCCGCAGACGCCGGACGACGCGTCTATAGCGAGCGTCACCGACTTCGAGGCCCCCATCCGCCGGCAAGAAGCGCAAGCTCCGTTCGCGAGCTCCTCCTCGTCCGCGGCCTCGTCAACAACGTCGCCCGCTAGCACGTCGTCGGTAACGTCGGCGGCTTCCTCCACCGGTGTACCTGCGTCGGATTTCTCGAGTGGCTCCTTCGGCGGCTCGGCGGCCCTGGATGTCACTCTGGTCTTTGTGCCCTCTGAGCCGCAGATCAACGCCATCGCTGCTCAGGATATCCCGACTTCCTCTGCGAGCTCGTCTGCCATGAGCGCCACGCAAAGCGCGAGCGACGCTAGCGTTGCGCCGTCGGCAACGCTCAACAGCACTGCCTATCCGACTATGGGCTCGTCATCCACAGAGACCACCATGTCGACCGCCGTTGCCTTTGCAGACGCAGCCGTCGGGCCTAGCTCGTTCTCTTCCTCCGCCGCCTCAACCTCTGCTATGACCACCTCTACGAGCGCCGGGGCCTCGTCCTACAGTGTTGCGTCGACCTCCATTTCGGACTCTGCGGCGCCTCGACCCACAGTTCCTTCATTCCGCCCGCTTAACGTGCAGGTTGTCCCCGAGGCTTTTGACGCTGATGCAACGCCCACGCTCGCGCTCCCTCAGTCATCCGGTACCTCGGCATCAGCGAGCGCGACGGCGAGTGCGGCCGGTTCGGCTTCTTCGAGCGCATCCTCAGCGTCACCGTCGGTGATTGCGCGCTCGGAGGATCAGGCTGCGACGCCTCCCTATACTTGGTTGTTCAAGCGTGATGATTAATCTGGCCTTGTATTCTGTTAGCTCTGTGTACCATAGTGTATTATCTTTTCGTAGCAGTTATACATGACTCGCAGCTTGCCTGGCTTCTATTTCGTTCCCCGCGTGTGAAATCAACTAGTACTACGACCCATCGAGTTAGTGGCGACAAGATCATGACGAGTACTGGATAAGCCAGTTGAGATTTACGTAGACGCGTGACGTCACGCGTCTGATTTCTGCACTACGGTGCCGGTTGCCGTGCCGACGTCGCTCTCTTTCCCCCGCCACCATGTGCGGACTTCATGGGTGGTATGCATCATGCAGAGGCATTCACGAATCTACAGAGCCACAGTGCGGGCGCATATCTCTCGGCTAGCTCTGAGACTACTCTATGCACTGCCCGTCGCATACGTATTGCCGGCGAAAAGAGGCCTCAGTGCCGGACTGTGATGACGCTGGGAACGGCCCGCGCGTGTGTGCTGACTTCTCGCCCTCAAGCTTTTCTTCTCGCACTGAGATGGCTTGGCACAGCTAGTCTCTCGATTCATGTCCCCAGTGTGAAGCTGGGGTGCACGCTCGAGCCTCGTATACATGTCGTACCCAGGCTCGGCGCGCGTGTATTGTCTGACCCCAGGAAACGCAACTGCACCAGTGTTTCTGATCAACACGCGCCCAAGCACTGTCGCTTCGAGTTGATGTCATGCGGAACAAAGTGTCATCGAATGTTTCCAGCTTCATCGTGTTGTTCAATAAGTTGACGTATTCGCTTGCAGACTCATGTACGTATGGGTTTAGTCGACAGTACAGTATCACCAACACAGTGAAATGCTTTCTCGCTTCAGTCATCTCGAACAAGTGCTTCGGCATGCTTCAAGGCCTGTCTCGGGACTCTCACTCGATTTCACTGATTAGCCGGCGGAAGTATGTACTGATTGAAACGCTTCTAGCCCAGCAGCCTTGCCGGCTAGAAACCTCCCGGGCTCCCCCGCTCCAGCCCCGATCTCCTTCGTGGGCAACTAAATTCTCTAGGATCAAGCGGGTAAAGCTTTACTACGATTGCTTGCATTGTACTCGCTCGATACTGTTGTTCACGTCAATCACCGTGAGTTGTTCTTTCACCCATGCAAGACGCTCCTCACGCATCTTGTCAGCTGATGACTCGGCACGGGGGTTGCACCCAAAGTCCGCATCACGTCCACTCCCAAAGGGGCGTGACTTGAGGTAACGGGAGGATGGTACAGACAAGTCTGGGTGCATCGTACAAGGATCAACGGTTTACACCGTCTGCGGGCCTTGATCGTGAGTTTAGTCAAGACTTGCTACCAGCAACGGATCCTGCGGCGTGTAGCTCGTCGATGTTGACGCCGAAAACGACCTTCAAGATGGACACGGAAGGGCCGTGAGGTAGAGCGGGTCGGGTCACGGAGATGTAGGTCAAAGCCAGAAGAAGCTGTGCCCAGTGAATCCTCTCCTCCCCATTGGCTTGCCAGCATGAACGCTTGCTGTGAATCACTCCATGAAATTCACCCTGTCGGCAACATCTCACAACGTACAGAGACTCTGTATGCTGGATACAACGTCAGTATAAGTACTCTGGACGACCAGGACGAAGAAAGCCAGGCCTCCTCGGTTCTTCACTTCCTCCTCCGGTCTTCCTCCAGTCGCAATGGCCTTTGCCAAGCTCCTCTCCATCGTTGCTCTCGCTACCGCGGCCAGCGGTGAGCTCCATCGCATGCATAGCTCCTGTAGCATTCATTGACATCTCTCCTTCTTTAGCCGCAGTCACCAAGCGCGTAACCTGCCCCGGCGGCGGTGTTACTGCCAACGCAGCGTGCTGTGTCCTGTTCCCCATCCTCGAGGACATCCAGGCGAACCTGTTCGACAACGAGTGCGGTGACAACGCGCACGAGGCGCTCCGCTTGACCTTCCACGACGCGATCGGTATCTCGAAGACCAACTCGTCCTTCGGGTGAGCGCCTCCGGATCTCCTCCCCTCTTCCCTGTACTCATCTCTACAGTGACGGCGCCGACGGCTCCTTTGTGCTGTTTGGCGACATAGAAACGCAGTTTCCCGCAAACGGCGGCACGGACGAGATTGTCGCGCTCGAGAAGCGCTTCATCGCCAAGCACCCCGGCATCACGACCGCCGACTTCATCCAGTTTGCCGGTGCCGTCGGTATCTCGAACTGCCCAGGCGCACCACGCCTCGAGTTCCTCCTCGGTCGTAAGGACGGTACGCGCCCGGCTCCTGACGGCACTGTTCCTCTGCCATTCGACGACATTGGCAAGGTGGGCTTTGATGGTCCGCATCGAGTCTCGCATCTTTTTGCTCACTATAATTCTAGATTCTTGCCCGCATGGAAGACGGTGGAAGCTTCTCCCCAGCCGAGGTTGTAGCACTCCTCTCTGCGCACACGGTCGGTGCTTCTGACAACGGTCAGTGTTCAGCCCTTATTTCCCGCGATCATCAAGCTCATTGTTCTCAGTCGACGGCACCATCCCCCGCACTCCCTTCGACTCGACCCCGAACCGTTTCGACACGCAATTCTTCGTCGAGACTCAGCTCCGCGGTACGCTCTTCCCTGGTAGCGGGCCCAACGAGGGTGAGGTCCAGTCTCCCTTGCGCGGCGAGATTCGTTTGCAGTCCGACCACCTCTTCGCTCGCGACTCCCGCACGAACTGCTTCTGGCAGGCCAACGCCAATCAGCAGACGCACATGACCAGCACCTTCGCCGCCGCGATGGCTAAGCTCGTCGTTCTGGGCCAGAACGTGAACTCCCTCGTTGACTGCTCTGATGTCATCCCCGTGCCGCCACCATTCACCGCTCAGGCTACCTTCCCTGCTGGTTTGTCGAACAAGGACGTCGAGCAGGCTTGCGCCACTGCTGCCTTCCCGACACTCAAGACCGACCCCGGTCCGGCTACCTCGGTCGCCCCTGTGTACGACTTTCACAGCCTTGTGCACACATCAGATGCTGATCAATTTCCTACAGCCCCGTTGGCCAGATGTGAAGCGCTGGTCGACTCGGCCGCGATAACCTCTCTTGTTCCTTTCTTTTCTTGGGTATGGATGTTTTACTCTTTGGGGGTATGGCTATACGGGTATTGGGTGCCGCTTCATAGGGTGGCAGGTTCAGTCTTCTGTACTATAATCTCTCTCAGTAACGATGGATGCCTCTGCAGCGATCATCAGAGTGAAAATAAGAAAGCTAGTGCATGACAGTCTTCGGTACTTAACGCAAACAGAAGAGTCTCAGATATCAGCGCTCGAGGAACGTCTAACACTCTCCTAAACCCATCACGACACCATCATAAGGACCTTCGTGGTCCTCGACATTGACCAAATCCACCAAGGTACCACCTGCCCCTTCCACTGCCCCATCAATGCATTCCGCCGACCCGTTTTCTTGACCAGGGCACTGCACCCAGTCATCGCTTTGGTCAATATGAACCTCATTGCCGGGCTGCTGGAAGCCGAGGAAACGAAAGGGCAGAGTTGGAAAAGGATCGCGTTGATACGTGATATGGGTCAGATTGACATGCGCGTCAACATACTCGGCAAAGGCAATGTTTCCGAGGCGAGGGAGCCCGTAACCTATGGTGCTTATCTTGACGGTATCGGGTAGGTGCATGGGGAGGTAGACAGCATCCAGCAAGGACAGGACGGCACCTACAGAGATGGATGAGAACGAGAGCACACGGACGGCGTAGCGTGAAGAGCGTACCGAGAGAGTGGCCCGTGATAACAACATCCCTGCCAGGGTGTTGCTGGAGGGCCATTTTGACGTTCGCCAAGATGATCGGGGCAGTCCTGGACGAAGAAATCAGTGACATTCTCAACACCAGTACAAGGGAGCCTACCTAGCATGCGCGAGTTGGTAGCCTGTATGTACCAGGACATCAGCAGGTATGTCGGGGAAGAGTGTTGAATCAAGTGGGTCCATAGTGACTAGGACGTTCGTGAGATCGGCGGTGCTTAATTACAAGGGTCGGTCAGGTAATGGCGCAAAGTCGAAGCCCGTATGCTCACAGGTTCCCCGAGTTGGTTCCTTCGTGTGCCACGATGATGGCATCTTGTGCCGGGTCGTAACCGACATACCAATACTGGATCAGCCCGCCGTTGCCGCCCGAAGCAAGTGGTTGAAAGTCGGGGTTTGCCTCGCAGTTCACTGATGACAGATGTTCAACGCGCCCTGCTAGGTTGTAAGAGAATGTCCACCTACGACCGCATGTCCAGGTCCGCGTGACGGAGGGGTTACAATAGGCCGCGCTCGCGAAGAGGGTGTACGGTTTAAACGCGTGTATCTGACTCTCGGTCAAGGTAGGAAAAGACTGGCGTCTGGTCGCAGGAGGTAGTGCAATGACCAGTGGCAGCAATGAAAGCAATGCAAGGGATATGCTGATGCAGAACCACATGACCGAGGTGTGAGGAAGCCGAGTGCTCGACCAAAGCTAAGCAGGGCAGATAATCTCTCTTATACTGGAACCAAACGCTAAGAGCTCGCTCACGCAGATGCCATCATCCAGCATTTGACAGATACACGCCAGTGCGAAACATGGAAGTTGCACGCAGTTGATATAGTAGCAGAGCAAGGCACGGGCGCTAGTTGCATTCGAACAGTGTGGCTCGTCAAAGATGTCGATTGTGAACTCGTAACCGGAGGAGATGCGCCGGCGGCACGTTGAAGTGACCGAGAGCAATGTATCAACGCGTTCTGCCGCCATAACGAATGGGGATGCGATATATTCTCTACAGTAGGTGTGGATCGTCGTGGTCGGAAGTAAGAGAGTTTGTCTCCGGAACAAAGCTCGCAGAACGCCGCGACCACGTGTGATGAGGCCGAGGACGGTCATGTCATAGGAGACGCGATGTGAGTGCTACTTCGGTCTGCACCGCCAATCCGCGTAAACGTCCTTGCTTCCTACCATCACCACGACTCTGACTTCCGGAAAACACACGCCGGGACTGCGTGTTACGCGCTCAGAGCGAGCCTTATCATCCTGAAACCGCTTGTTGACTCTTCTCGTGTCTCTTCGAAGCACAGGCATGTCCGGGACAAGGAATGGTCGATCTTCGCCCCAGAACAATGACCGGCGCCGGGGAAGGCAAGATAAGGACTATGAATCTTCTGACTCCTCTGTCGCCTCCCCGTCCTCTTTCATCGTGACTCGTGGTCGATCTCGAGTACGGCGGATGACCGACGAGACGAATCCATTCTCAGACGAGAATATGCGCAAGAGGTGCGCATACTAGGCCATATTATAGCGTGCCATTCGCTCATGTGCTATATTAGGGGATATCACACATTCCGATGCTTCGACCAAACATTCCGCGTCGAGAAACGATGGCAACTCATCCGTGAAATGGGCTCAGGAGCTTACGGCGTAGTCGCGTGCGTTAACCACATTGCGGGATATTGATCTGGATACTCAGGAGTGATGTGTAGATCTGCAGCGGATGAGATTTCTGGAGAGACCGTAGCGATCAAGATGGTCACACGGGTGTTCGACAAGGTCTCCCTTGCGAAGCGCGCGCTGCGAGAACTCACACTTCTCCGGCACTTCAATAACCACGAGAACATCACCGGCTTGATCGATGTCGATGCAATAGCACCAGGCTTTAACGAGATGTACGTCAACCAATCTATGCTCAACCACGGACGCAGTCAGATCCTGACTCGCTTTACCCAGTTATCTCTTTATGGAGGTCAGTCGGCTGCCGAGCATCTATCTAACCGGATGTGCGATTGCTTATTGCTGCGTCGGCGCCTTTCAATCTAGCCAATGGAAGGTACGTGCCCCTTCTGCGGACTTCGGCCATCGCGCTGACGGACCCTTGATCTCCGCCGCTCGGCCGTCGTCTTCATCTTACAGCCGACTTGCACCAGATCATCAAGTCAGGACAGGCCTTGACGAACGAACACGTCCAGTACTTTGTGTACCAAATCCTGCGAGGTTTGGACAGACTTCCACCGTTTCGGTTATCACGAGACTGAATAGCACGCAGGCATGAAGTACATCCATTCAGCATCAGTCGTGCACCGCGACCTCAAACCCGGCAACCTACTTGTCAACTCGGATTGCGAACTGAAGATATGCGACTTCGGTCTCAGCCGAGGTTTTGACGCGCAATCTGAGGATGGTGTTTCTCACATGACGGAATATGTCGCCACACGATGGTACCGCGCGCCGGAGATCATGCTCGCTTTCAGGTTTGTCTGCCAGATGGGTGCAGCCCGTAGCTATCGCTGAACCACCCTTAGGCGGTACGATACGGCGAGTGAGTCATCTCGAATCTCAAGGCGATTAACCTTGCCAACGTCTTGCAGTCGATGTTTGGTCTATAGGCTGTATACTTGCCGAGCTGTTGCTTGGCAAACCCATGTTCAAGGGCAAGGAGTGAGTCTTGCTCGTGTCAACTTTAAGCCCTTGCTAACGACTCTATAGCTATGGTGATCTACTATCTTATGGGATGCGATGTTTGGTCATTGACCTCTACACACAGTCGATCAACTAAACAAGATATTGGACTTCGTCGGTAAGCAAGTGGGGCATTCCCGCGAGTGGTTGGACTAATAGATTCTCAGGTACCCCGAGCGACGAAGTTCTCAGGCGAATAGCAAGTGATAAGGTACGGTCTCTCACCTCACTGAAAGGGCTATCTAAGACTCCTATCCAGGCCAGAGCTTACGTGCGAACGTTGCCTATCCGGAAGAAGCAGTCGCTCAGTAAACTCATTCCGGATGCCGATCCCGAAGGTACGAGAGACGATGCCATTACAGGAGTGGATTCTGATTGCACCTATAGCGCTTGACCTTCTGGAGAAGCTTCTTGCGTTCGATCCTGCGGCGCGTCTCACGGTTGAACAAGCGATTGCCCATCCATGGCTTGCCGCGTACCACGACGTAAACGATGAGCCAACATGTCTGCAACCTTTCGACCGCTGGAGAGAGATCGAGCAGTTGGAAACGCTGGAGGACTTCCGTGCTGCATTATGGGAGGAGATTGAGGACTACCGACGGGAAGTGCGAGCTATAGCGCTTGAACAGGACGAGCACCCCGGTCCACTTCGTAGCCCAAGCAACATGGGCTCGGCATCACACTCCCCTACATACTCCCGCGTCTCCCCATCGCAAGCTCCGGCATCACAGTTACCGCCCACACCTGAAGCACATATTGGTTCTCACTTGACGGCCCAAGGACCATCAACATCATCCTCCATTACCCCGCACGCATCGAATATCGTCAGTTTCCCAACAACCGCAGAACACAGTCCCGAGAAGCACGGCGACGAACTAGATGGCGAGTTACCTCCCGCCATTGCCCGACTGCGTGCAGGGCATGGGCGGTACGCCTCGGTGGCCGACCCGCTCATGTCCTACGCCCGCCGCGCAAGCATCTTCTCGGTCCCAGAAAACCTGAGGTATCGCGTACCGCAGGCGCAAGTGCAGGAGACCGGCACGCCACCTTCAGGACTTCCACCTCAAGGTACCGATGCAGCGTACCCCTTCCCCAGTATGAACGCTGGGAGCGGATACGTGCTACCCGCACGAAGCAGGACAGCGAGCGTCATCGACATGCCGCGGCGCTTGCTACGGACCCTTTCAACGGTATCCATATACGAGCCCATAGATGTGGCTGTGCTAGCGGCCGGTGCCGGCGCTCCTGGGCAAGAAGGTGGGGTAGCGGACATGGCGCGTGCGATTAGGGCCAAGGAGACGGACGCGGACGAGCCTGCCAGTGCTATACCAGGCGAGATCGCGGACAGCAACGGCAAGAGTGGGAGCCGAGAGAAGTACGGCGAGGGTGGCGGGAGTCATGTACGGGATCCTGCTGAGACAGGCGGGGATGGCGGTGGTGAGCAGGGAACTGGGTGAGCAGTTGAGGGATCTGATTTGGACAGTCACCATTCTTCGTTGTCGTTGTTCATCGCTGAGCCTGAGGTCTGAGATCTTGCTGATAGAATCTCCAATCCTGGGTGGAACGTATACGGCGCAGATCATCTAATTATGCATAGAGATTACAATGAGCGAATGAGAGCATCAGATAGAGTGTACAGATAGCAATGTATATATGGTGGACCCTGAAGGAAAGCGCGCACGAACTAAGCATCGCCCAAGATCTTCTTGAGGCCTGTGCAAGATTGAGTCCGTGTGACTTGGTGAGACTCAGGGAGTAGGTACTTACGCTGGATGATATCGAGATACGCAGTTGTGGCAGGGCTGTCAGGGTACTCATCGAGGAAGCTGACACCGAAGTCCGCACTCTTCCCTATACGCGGGTCGAGTGGCACAGAACCCAGCAGTTCAACGCCCATCTCCTCCGCCATGCGCTTTGCTCCGCCAGTAGAAGGCTTGAAAATCTGGCTCTCGCCCTTGCAGTTAGGGCACACAAAGCCGGCCATATTCTCGACCACGCCAAGCACGCGGATACCAACTTTGTGGCAAAAGTTGATCTCGCGGCGTACATCCTGTAGTGAGACCTCCTGTGGTGTAGTGATGACTACTGCACCGTCAATTCCAGACTCCTTGAGCATCTGGGCGATTGACAAGTGCTCGTCCGACGTCCCAGGAGGCGTGTCAACGAGAAGGTAATCGAGGGTTCCCCAGTCTACGTCCTTCAAGAACTGCGCGATGAGACCGTTCTTCTTGGGCCCTCGCCACATGACTGCATCTCTTGCAGAAGGAAGCATGAAGCCGACAGACATTGCGCAAAGGTTGTCTTGCACATAGACGGGTGACCAGCCGGATTGTGAAGCGTGAACCTGCTCGTTTGCCATGCCCAGGATAGTCGGCATAGACGGGCCGCAGATGTCGACGTCCATGATACCAGTCTACATTATGTCAGCCCAGTGTTCATTCCAGCTGTGGATTGGTACACTAACCTGCAAATCCTCGTCGGCCGCAAATGCCCAACCTAGCTGCGCAGTGAAAGTCGATTTGCCCACGCCACCCTTTCCAGACAGTACAAGGATCTTGCGCTTCACCGTCGACATTCGCTGCCTGATGAATGGTAGGGACGGATCTGGGCCTTTGACCTCATTGGATGCGCATATTTCCTGGTTTGCACAACCATCACACGCCGTCGACTTCCCCGCAAACTCGGTTTCTGGTCCCTGTACGGTCGTGAGCGAGGACTGAGTATTTTATGACTCTGAGCTTACCGGGCAGTGCTCTGGCGCGTTGGATGGTATAGAAAGCGGATCGGGTATGGGTACTGCAGATTGTGTTGCAAGCATGATGGTGGTAAGCAACGAAGAATGTGGCAATCGGCCGAAAGAATCTGGTTAGGGGCTTGGTAAGGCGTCTGGAGATCCGGGCCGAAGTACTTATCTTATCTCATGGCACGTGCTGTTCGAATCTGCTGTACTCGGCGTTGCGTTGAGCGCTCAAGGCTGCTCAACCTCACCCTTCTCCTTCGTCGCGCTACCTCTGCACATTCTTACCTTCCTTTCCATGAGCGATACCCCTCCAACCTACTACGCTGTACTCGGCGTTCCGAATGGCGCCGCTCCTGAAGACAGTGCGTATTGTGGTGTTCAAGTTTCCCCGATTGAATTGTGGTTTTGACTTGTGATGGTTTCACCAGTTCGCAAGGCGTACAAGCAGAAGGTGCTGACTACGCATCCCGATAAACTCCCCCCAGAGGCTACTGCCGAGGAAAAGCAAGCGGCTCATGATGAGTTCGGCAAGGTACGTTCCCGTCCATATATTCGAGAGAAGTTCGGAATCTCATGATGCCCAGGTGCACGAGGCATTTCGCGTACTTGGAGACGCGGAAGCACGACGCGTGAGTCTTCGCTTGTCACCAACCACATACCCTAATCTTAACTTATACCCAGGCCTACGACATACACCACCGCATCCTTCCAGTGCCTGTCATGATATCCGACAATGTCTCACGCGCCTCGTCAACGTCCTCGAAAGCCTCCACCACGTCATCCGCCTCCAGGCGCAAGCCACCTCCGCAAAGAACTCCATCAATGTCCTCCAGCTCATCTATCTCAACGCGCATCTCGGAGCTCAACCGCACCCCGTCCGCTGCACGGTCGGTCTTCTCCCGGAAGTACCCGTCTGAGATGGCACCGGAAGAGGCTGAGCCCACGCCATCGGTGGCGGCAGACCCGCTGCCATTCAGTGCAGCGCCGTCACGTTCACCATCGGCGTCTTCGAGAGCTTCCTCGGCTCAGTTCGAAACGGCTTCGCAAGCGCCCTCGGCGGCACCGTCCCGGGCGCCTTCCAATGCTTCTCGAGCGCCATCAAACCTATCCCGCGCTTCTTCCAAGTCCTCTCAGTCATCCGAGGCATTCCCATTTGAGAGGATGGCACCGCCCTCGCGCTCAGCATCTATCATATCTCGCGCGTCGTTTACCACAGCTCGAGATGAGGGTGAAGCCTCGAGGCCTGCCTCACCTGCAGCCTCCATCTCATCGCGTGCTTCCTCTGGTCGGCTTACGGAGACGGTTGTCCCAGAGACAGCCTCGCGTGCATCTTCTCGCGCACCTTCGGTCATGAGTCGAGCGCCAACGCACCGCACTGCTACGCCAGTACCGGTCGACGAGACGTTGAGCCCTGAGAGCATCTCCCGCCCGTCTTCGGCTGCCTCCAATTCATCAGCTTCTTCCGCTTCCACAGTACGAGCTGCCTCGATCGCGCCGTCCATCCATCGCTCAAACTCTGGAGCATCGGCAATGTCGGCTGCTCGTTCTATTGCCGCCTCTCTCGACCAACTAAGTGAGGAGCGCGTCAAGCTCGAGGAAGAGCTCGCAGAACGACGCAGTATCGCACGCTCTGGATCAGGCCGATCTGCTG